AATAATTTCTTAATTTTACATAAACCATCAAATATCTAGTAAACCATTCATTTTTCGATTATCTTACTTTCATACTTTTATGTACAAAATAATGAGAGGAATCAATTGGTGTAAAGAAAACACATAGTTGTTTCTAAGAAAAAATGTAATTTGCAATTAACAATTCCATATTTTTTCTTAAAAACAACTGTATGTTTTCTTTACACCAATTGATTCCTCTCATTATTTTGTACATAAAAGTATGAAGGTAAGATAATCGAAAAATGAATGGTTTACTAGATATTTTATGGTTTATGTAAAATTAAGAAATTATTTCAAGCCTTATAACTCAAAAAGTACTTAATAAAAAGGTACTTAATTATAGTGTTTTGGAAAGCTCTCGAGATAAGCTACAAGAATATGCAATGAAAAATAGGGGGTTCCATTTAAGATTTCAAACTTGCCCCCCTCACCGCCCAGGGGGAGGGGTGGGGGGGCTGATTTTAATGTCATTGTACGTCCCCCTCGAAATGACGAAATTTTGATTCTAACCATTTTTTCGTAGTGTGCTTATTTTTCGAGTTATTTGGCTGCCTAAGTTAAAATGGGTCACCCTGTATATTTGAAAAGAACCACAACCATATGGTCGAAACGTCGTAATAAATAAACAAAATTTTGGCTAGTGTTGGTCGATTACATTATTTCCAATGATCCTTCGATTAATCGATTAGCGATATTAAGATAATTTATGAATTTATAATAACTTTGTTCATAGATGCAAATTTTTCCACGTTCGCTGTTAATTACGTTTCATAAATATTAACATTATCACGCTTCTGTGCACGTCAATCTGTATAATTGACCATTGTATGTCTCCTACATTGTTTGAACTTTTAACAACAGAAATGGGAGACATTATAAAAACATTGAATAAAAACATTGAGGCTCTCCGTTTTTTATTGTAACATTATATAGCATAACGTCAGAGAGATGAAAAGTCACGTGAATTGATTTTCTTCCTTTCACAGCTGATATAAGTCACGATCGGTTCTGATAAAATCCATTTTCATCGGGAATCTGGGACACACGTTCAAATTGAATTACCAATCAAGGAGACAATTAGGAAGAGAGTATATATTCTTCTCAATCTGTACCGCATCTGAACGTGAGTGATACGCGCGAGAAATTCAATTTACCTCGAGCTTTTTTCTTATATTTGATATGAAAAAAAAAAAAAAAATATCACACCGATAATTTCTCGTCTCTGACGATCTCGCGATTCGGTATTGCTCGCGGTGGATGAATCACGAAGTGCCCGAGAACACAAACTTGTAAATAGAAGAAAATGGTGCGCATCGGGGAGATGCAGCTTCTTGCGGCGCAAAGTCGGGAGAAGGGAAGAAGGATGGCGGGGCAAGAGGGGGGGAGGGGGGGGGGGGGAGAGCCAAGCGCGCGCGCTCGATCTCGCGCGAATCGACCCACTGACCTGGAACCCCGGCATCTCGCGCTATCTCGGATGATCCAATTTTCCGTCGTCTCGTTTTCCGTGTCGGGACGATTCGCACCTCCTCCCCCACCTCCCGCCTCGGTAGTCATCGATTTCCGGGAGGCTCGGAGCTACGGTGCTCTCGATTTTCCCGGCGCTATCGTCCCTTTCCCGGGAGATTCCCCTCTCCCTTCTCCCTCCTTCGTTTCTCGATTACACGTCGAGAATCGTCAGAGACTCTCGAGTGGCCGAGACGAGCCATGTTTGTCGTGTCGGGGATTGCGAGGTCGCAGAAATTACGCGGGATGACGCGCGGCCCTCCCGGAGAACGAGGACCAGGCGGTTGCTGAAGGTTGCAGCAGCACCAGCAGCACCACCATCAGCAGCAGTTCTCGCAGTCGATACCGCCGCTGCGCCGAAGCAATGCGAGACGACAGGGGGGGATGCTCTCGTGTAGCAACGAGAATCGTGCTCTGGATATTCGATATTGGGTCGCTTGGATCAAGCCTCTCCCTCTTTCCACCTTGCTGATCCGCGGTCGACTCGAATTTGAGTAGAACGGAAGTCCCTCGACGATCTGACGCTTACTTTCGCCCGCGAAATGAGATCGTCGCGTTTTAATTTCCAGCAGAACACCCTATACAAAATGGAGATTCGATAAGCAACACCTCTGCACCGCTTTCAGTTGCAATCTTTATGAAGTAGAAAAAAATCTAAACAAATTCAGACAAAACAAAACAAAAGGCAATTACGAGCAATCACAAGATGTTGAGTGTGTAAATGTAAATTTAGTATATATTTGAGTGAACGTTTCGATTCTTTCTTTGAACCATCTTCAACACAAAATACAATTATTAAAAATTATAACTAATACATATATTATCAATCGGTCGTTACAATATTATAGAAAACGGTCAGAAAACTAAATAATGGCGATAAATCCATCGAATGTCAATATATGACAAAAAATCTAATATGTGTACAAGGTGTATCAGAGCGACCGTATCAGGCTGATATTTCGAAAAATACGCATTTACTTGAAAAATGTTCCGAACAAAAGTTGTAGGACTTTAAGGGGCGCATTACATAGCATGGTTAGTGTGACCTTGGATAGTGTTGTTAAGGACACGGAAAAATCAATTAAAAGTTTTTAAAGGGAAACCCCTATTTTTGATTATATATTCTTATAGCTGACCTCGAGAGCTTTCCAAAACACTATAATAAAGTATTTCTTCATTGAGTACTTTTCGAGTTATAAGGCTTGAAATCATTCCTTAATTTTATATAAACCGTAAAATATCTTGTGAAATATTCATTTTTCGATTATCTTACCTTAATAATTTTATGTACAAAATAATGAGAGGAATCAATTGGTGTAAAAAACACATAGTTGTTTTTAAAAAAAATATGTAATTGTTAATTGCAAATTACATATTTTTTTCTTAAAAACAACTATGTTTTTTCTTTACATCAATTGATTTCTCTCATTATTTTGTACATAAAATTATTAAGGTAAGATAATCGAAAAATGAATATTTCACAAGATATTTTACGGTTTATGTAAAATTAAGAAATGATTTCAAGCCTCATAACTCGAAAAGTACTCAATGAAGAAATACTTTATTATAGTGTTTTGGAAAGCTCTCGAGGTCAGCTATAAGAATATACAATCAAAAATAGGGGTTTCCATTTAAAAACTTTTAATTGATTTTTCCGTGTCCTTAACAACACTATCCAAGGTCACACTAACCATGCTATGTAATGCGCCCCTTAAAGTCCTACAACTTTTGTTCGGAACATTTTTCAAGTAAATGCGTATTTTTCGAAATACCAGCCTGGTACGGTCGCTCTGATACACCCTGTATATAACATCTAAACTCGAGTTTCAAACTAATTACAGTATTGGTCTGCTGATTCATCCTCGAACTTATCCCTCGTTGTTTAGCGAGGAAAATTGATGAAAAAAAATCATATTTGGAAAATCATGAGGAAGTTTAAAGCTGGACAGAGATCTGTAATCGGAGTCAAGGATGTCGATTGTCAGAATCGTCTTAATTCGCGATGAAAAAAAACATCCTTGAGACTGATTGGCAACTCTAGTTCTCTATAGCTCTAATTCGGACAATTCTCCCTCCTCTTTATTTTCCGCCCACAATGTGCGACGATACGTTTGTGCGCTCGCCTACGCTAATTAGTCACTTGTCGGGTGTTGTTTGTCTGTCGCAAAATCGGCTTCGAATCAAAGCATGCATCGATGACAAGTGGATTTAAATGCATTTGTTTGCATCGTTTATCCTTAGCTGTGCTCCAGTAGCGAGCTCTGTAATTGTAGTTTGACCACTTTCTTTCTCTTTTCCTTTATCTCTTTCTTTCTCTTTCTCACTCTTTCTCTCATCTCTCATCTTTTTTCTTCATACTTTGAAAATATGCTATCAACATCACTATTGTTATTAGGAATCTCTTTAATTATGTATTATTGTATATACGTGGGTCGTTTGATAAGTTTGGTAAATTTTCGTGAAATTGCGTCACAATCCATTTGGTGACGCCTCATCAGCCTACTTTTCCGAAGGTATTAAAAAATTGGAAATTTGATGGACTAAGTGTATAGACCTCGATGGAGACTATATTAAGAAATTACATAAATTTTTTCAAAAATAACGTGTTTTATTTTTTACCAAACTTATCAAACGATCCTCGTACATTAAAATAAAAATTTATAAATTATACAAGGTGTACCAGACTTAATGAATCAGCCGTTATTGGTAGATTTTTGAGATCATTTGGAGACGAAAAGTCTAATACTAAAATGTTGAGGAAGACTTCATAAAAATTTCCAAACTACTGACTACTGTTGCATGGAAAATACAATCGCGCTCACTGTAGAATTCTATTTTTTATTTTATATTCATCCCTATATCGATATCGATATTATGCTGTACATGGACCCCTTAATGCGCTATGTCCCTGAGCATAGGAGGACGTAACGCGCCGATTGGTAATCTTTAATCTTTTTCAGTGCCGAAATTACATCTTCCTCAACATTTTGTTATTAAGATTTTCGTTTCTAAATAATCTCAGGAATCTACCATTAACGACTGATTCGTTAAGTCTGGGACACTCTGTACATACGTAAAATATGTCTCTTAGCAAAGTGCTTTTCATCCATAAATCCTCTGATCAATTTTCAGTCAACTTCCTTAGCGAGAAATCTCGAGGTTTTTTCCTTCTTTTCAATTTTTTGCTAAATATCCCCAATCTTTAAATTATAGATCTGTCAAAATAAAGTTTACCCGAAACTAAATATGTTGAATAAGATTTTCTTTTCTATTATTTTCTTACATTTTTAAAATTCTATTGCTCGATTCCAATCACTGCCTTAGCTGCCACTAATGTCATTAGTGACTCAATTAACTGTCTCTCGATGTTTGTATTTAAAGAGAAACTGGCTTTAAGTTGGAATCGAGGAAAGTGAAAAATAGACGATTTCGACAAGTCTACATGTATAATTAACGAACATATTAATTTGTTACAGGTGCAGTCTAGAAATTTGCTGCGAAAATGAGTTGCGCGTCGCAGTGCGCCAAGTACTTTCTCTGCTTCTTCAACTTTATATTCTTCGTAAGTATACACGGGGTTTCCGCATAATAATAGCAATCTAAACCGGAGTCTGCATTTCCTGCGTCTGCACTTTGCGAGACGTCGCGATCGCGCGGTTGATAATTCATCAACATCGCAACCAGCCACGATCGCATAATTGCACTTCGCTCGAACCCTCGCCTCGCTTTGGGGACCACCACGTTGAAATACATTTCTCACTCGTTTCATACATACGAGCAAATTACATGCGTGTATGCTGATAAGACACGAACATCTCGAGCCATCTCTGTGGGAGCGTTAACGTTGCGAGAAAAATTGCGTTCTTTCTCGCGACGAAAGAGTACAGTTGTACAATTCTATACAGGGTGTTTGCTTCCTGGAAAACATGGAAAGCTTGGATTTTTCAAGAATTTCTTTCTTGTACCTGGAAAAATCAGAAAAATTCTCATGAAATTCTATTGGAGCTCAGGAAATTTCTTTAAAGAATCCTCTCTTTGATCATTTTACTACATTTTATATCGTAACCAGTTAGCAACTCAAGTGAATTACGTGTTTAAAATATATTATGAGTATGTATATTTGTTTATAATATATCTTCGATGTTTTAACTAAATATTGAAATACATGTTTTTTATTGTAATTTTCAGTGATAAAGAAATGAAAATTTTATGCAAATGAGAAATGCTTATCTTGAAAGTTATTCAATCTTGTTTAGATATTTCATATTTACAAATTTAATATTTGAAACTTAAGAGAATGTATTTTTTCTTCGTACAAGTGAAAAACATTATAAAACGCATACAATGAAAAAATTATTTAGAAAGTTGCATAAAAAAAATCTGTAAAATAAAATTTCTTTGCCTGGAATTTTGAGCAAAAATACCTTGAAGATCAGGGAATTTTCAGGGAATTTTGTTTTATAAAATTTGAGTAGATATTTTAGAAAATTTATATGCCGTTACGGTGCACGATTCTTGGTTTCTTACCACAGTTCTTGGTCTCTATCTTATAACATCAAAAGCGAACGTGAAAATAAAGTTTAGTTTCGAGACGAGGTACTCGCGTGTTCGACAATGATTGACAAAACATGTCGAAGATTTTCCCCTCTTTACTGTACCCTTCATTGGAACAAATAGATGTATAATTTAATGTGCCCGCATGCGATCGCAAGTGAAAAGTAGCCAAGCCCGCACTTCGAGTTCTGGGCCGCTTCCTTTGGTCAACCTTGAAGTCCACGAAGCAGAACGGAGATGTACAACGAGATGCTTCGTATTTTGCAGGTCGCCGGAGGAGCGGCACTGACTGTCGGTATCTGGCTTTTCGCTGACAGGAGCTCGTTCACCAATCTCATCGGGAAGCTCGATCAATCCGACATCCTGGTAAGAATATGAACCAACAAATTAATTAATAAAAAGAAAAAATTAAAATAATAATCAAGGCTAAGAACCCGTACTAGATGGAATAGCGTATCAAACAATTTAATTAGTTACAAGTAAAAAATTAATTAATCATAAAAAATTATATTTTTGCGCGTCAAATACGTATTTTCCCTAAAAATCGCCCTATGATTCACGCAGCACCACTTGTTTGTGTAGTCGTATGGCAAATTGGCCAAGCACCAAAATAATACAAGCGTTCATCTTACAAATGCGTAGAAATCATCACGCCCAACCCGGCAAAGCCAAGAACTCGCTGATTTAACTTTAATTTAATTGGTCGTAAAACACACGAAATCTTTCGCAAAATTGTGATCAAAGAGGATATATATGGTCTTTTAATATCTTGAAGAAACCGGACAATTCTCAGCAAAAATACCGGTTTGTCTAACGAACGTTTCGTTGTGTTAGATTCCTGCTGTGGTCTTTACGAGCTTCTCTATCGCTTTCTTATTCAGGTAGGATCGCAATAATTTTCATGACCTGTCCTGAAATCCAGACGGAACAAATTTCAGACGGAAAGCATTTAATTAAGCGTCTCGTTTTCAAAAACTAAGAATTGTGTCGACAATTTTAATTGGACTCGCGTATTAATTTGCTTTGCTAATTTTATTGCCGGTTTTCGAGATTGCTTTACGACTCGTTGCTTCTCTCGCGAAAGAAAAAATTCTCAAGCAGGTCCTAGGCTTCCCTCCCTCACTAGGATATGTTAGAAGGAAAATGGCTCGCACGTATCCTTATAACTGGCTATTTATACTACTCCAAGTTTCTCTTGCGCAATCATGGTAATTATGTCGTAAGTTTGTTATGCAATTTCGAGGTAGGTGCAACAAGAAAGTTTTGCTTGAACGAGACTGGATTTGATTCCTGATACGCGCGATTATCAATCAGGAAAAATATCTCTCTTTCATATTTAATTTGTATATTTTCACGCACACACTGAGAAAAATCGTTTGATTGTAGCAACAAAACGTATACGATTGAAGGCATTTTGGTTAAATCAAACAAGAATTTCTAGTTATGATAAGAATCGATTTTCTATAACTAGAACGTTTAATAGATTTTACTATAAGGATTTGGTTAGTATTTCCTGGTTGGATCTATAAAATTTGTTACATTAACTTCTTTGCTGCTAGACGGCAGCCACTCTTAACTTAACTCGTATTCAATATTTGCCATGAAATGTATATAAAGAATTAGTATTAACATTAAATCCAAAGTATATATTTTTTTCTTTTACGAGCAGTGCCAGAAAGAGGACGCTAGTTCTCTGATTGTGTGTGTTTGAGCTGCATCCTCTTTTTGCATCATTGTTTATCAGTTTAATTTCTAACAAACTGAACTTAAAATAATTTATTCAATAATCTGGATTGAATTTATCCAATAATCTTGTTGAAATTTAGAATATTAAACAGACTTTTGAGATTAGATGGAAAAAATTTTAGACGACTTGGTGCTGAGTTTAGTATTATTAACGAGAAAATTTGGTAAATTTAACAGGAAGAAATTAATCAGATTCATCTGATGATTCCTACAAGAATTCTGGTTCGTCCATTTTCCAACAGACATACTGATTGAATCTACCAGAATTCTAATTAATTCAATCAGATTTTTTTCTCAGTGCACTATTTATCAGTTTAATTTTTAACAAACTAAATTTAAAATAATTTATTCAATAATCTGGATTGAATTTATCCAATAATCTTGTTGAAATTTAGAATATTAAACAGACTTTTGAGATTAGATGGAAAAAATTTTAGACGACTTGGTGCTGAGTTTAGTATTATTAACGAGAAAATTTGATAAATTTAACAGGAAGAAATTAATCAGATTCATCTGGTGATTCCTACAAGAATTCTGGTTCGTCCATTTTTCAACAGACATACTGATTGAATCTACCAGAATTTTAATTAATTCAATCAGATTTTTTTCTCAGTGCACTATTTATCAGTTTAATTTTTAACAAACTAAATTTAAAATAATTTATTCAATAATCTGGATTGAATTTATCCAATAATCTTGTTGAAATTTAGAATATTAAACAGACTTTTGAGATTAGATGGAAAAAATTTTAGACGACTTGGTGCTGAGTTTAGTATTATTAACGAGAAAATTTGATAAATTTAACAGGAAGAAATTAATCAGATTCATCTGATGATTCCTACAAGAATTCTGGTTCGTCCATTTTCCAACAGACATACTGATTGAATCTACCAGAATTCTAATTAATTCAATCAGATTTTTTTCTCAGTGCACTATTTATCAGTTTAATTTTTAACATAAATTTAAAATAATTTATTCAATAATCTGGATTGAATTTATCCAATAATCTTGTTGAAATTTAGAATATTAAACAGACTTTTGAGATTAGATGGAAAAAATTTTAGACGACTTGGTGCTGAGTTTAGTATTATTAACGAGAAAATTTGATAAATTTAACAGGAAGAAATTAATCAGATTCATCTGGTGATTCCTACAAGAATTTTAATTCATCCATTTTCCAACAGACATACTGTTTTGAACTTGGTTGAATCTACCAGAATTCTAATTAATGCAACCAGATTTTTTAATCCAACAGACATTACTGTTTTGGACTTGGTTGAATCTAACAGAATTCTAATTAATGCAAACAGATTTTTTTCTCCGTGTATGATACGATAAGTAAATTATTCTTGACGCTTCCTTTTGCCGATAAATCCCTTTCGTTAGCATTCAAACTATCTTTATCACTAACGTGACTTATTCATTAACAAGCACGTGTGAAATGCAGATGTGTAACAAGATATGTGCGACGTACATACATATATACGTATTGTAATATAATACCATTGTCTGTATTATGGATACATCGCTATAACACCCGCATATTAACGTGATTTTCCTATAATACGTCCTTGAAATGAATATGCAAAGCGAAGGAATATGCTTCGCCGATTCCTTTCATAGATTTTTTTCATTTCTCTTGAATTTTTCTTCAAAAAATAAATCTCTTATATAAATCGAATGAGAATAAATAAGTGACATTTCTAAGCTCTCGACGAAAGTCTCCAAATTTCTATCGAGAAACTAGTTTTAGTTTTTTAGGTCAGCTTGCCGGACATGAACACTCATTTTTTTCTTTAGAAAGATGCCAAATGCACAATAAAATATTTAACAGTCGTAACACACGTACTTATTAGGCTTTTCTTAACCGCAAGTCGCGCAAGAGATACGAGATAATCTTACGTTTAACGAGGTGCTTGACTCTATAAGCTGCGAGGAGAAAAGGCATAAAAAGAACGACCTTAAAGACTATCACGATTAATGAGAACAATAGAGGATAGCGTACTTCCTTCGCATAAATACTACTGCACGCTTCTTTCCTTCGTCCTGTGCATCTAATCATCTTTTATTAATGACATCATGCCATATTTTGACTCTTGGTTCTTATAGCATTCTCGTAAAAAGAAGAGGGATTACACGAATTTTGATGAAATTAAATGTGCCTTGTCGGAAGGTGTCTATGAAAAAAAGAGAATTCGTAGATGTTCTAAAAGGAAGTAAAACAAATAGGATCCTTTTCACACAGTAATCTTTTATGCCGGCAGATGTAGGCATAGACATAGCGTAAAAAAGTGCATGCGCTGTTAATTATTATAATTAGAGAATGACCCATCGTGACGTGCGCTTTCTAATCCGCTGCACCTCTGCTTTGAGTCTCCTTATCACTAAGTAATTAATGTTTATTCTGTTAGTTTCACTTTATCTCGAATCTTGATTACGATGGTCGTTCTGGATTTTAAGACACAAAAAAATAACGAGCCTTTTAGATTTCATTTACACGCGTTGTTTGTATTCTGATATAATTTGACGTTCGAGAGTTTATTATATATAATATTTATTATACAGGGTGTTTCTTAATAAGTGCGAAAAATTTTAGGAGATGACACTTTGTCGAAAATTAAGGAGAGTTTTTCATATAAACATATACTCCTACATCCCTCTCTGTGGGAGTTACACTTCTCCAAAAATGGGGATAAAAATTAGGTTTTTATTTTTTCCTCAAATTTGGAACAAGTTAAAGAAATGAAATTAGGTAGATATTTTTTAATAGTAAAAAGGTTATTCATTAATATTTTTTTCAGCCTCTCATATTGTTATAAGGGAATGAAACTAGCAACCCCTATTCAATTTTTTATTAAAACTGTTTAATGGGCCGGAATATGATAATCTAAAAAATATGCAAAAAGTTTGATTTATTTGGAAACTTTTTTATTTCTTTTATTTTTTTCATAGTATCAATAGTTTTCAAGAAAAAAATTAAATACATTATCGTGTACAGGATGGTGCTAAATAGCATAGGTTTCGAATTATGAGAAGTTAAGTTTTAAAGTAAAAATAAAATTAGAGAAAATGTTGAGAAAATTGGAACAAAAACAAAATCTTAATAAAAACCCAAAAAATAAAAACCTAATTTTTACCACAGGGAGGGATCTGGAGTATATGTTTATATGGAAAATCCCTCTTAATTTTCGACAAAGAATCATCTCCTAAAAAATTTTTCGCGCTTATTAAAAAACACTCTATATATATATAATATCTTCTTTCTATTTAAATTTCGGCAAATGTCTTAACATATGATTCATATTCTTGATTTTTACCTCACTTCACCATACCTTGACTAGTGAATGATAAGAAAAATCCGACTGGCAGATTGTTTTCACGCGCAACGTGATATACTACGTAGGTAGACAGCAATGCTACGGACAGGGAGAAACGTAATTATCGGTACTTGGCCGCTGATGAGATGATTGGTTGTCACATTAGCGGAACGCGTGGGAGGATCGGGGTGATCTCCATCGCGGATTCGTGGTTCATAGTCCACCGCTGGACAAACATAAAGGCCAAAGCTCTCGAACAATTTTACGTATCTTCTTAGAGATTCACGAATAGGGGCATTATCTGAAAATATTATTTTTTATATTCACATCGTCGTACATTGCTTAGACGATGGCGGAGCTAGATAGCGGAACGCGACGAAGAAAAGTAAAAGTGCCGCTTTCATTTTTCATATATTTCGCGCAAGCGGCGAAAGGATAACGCATGTTTCCTTATGATAAATTAAATTATTAGAGTGATAAATATCCACTTAAATATATCTACGCGATACGCGTATAAAGTTCTTTTGAATTTCTTGTAATTTGTGATGCTATTAAATGTAACGTAGAAAAAAAATTAATACAATTAATATTACTCGCGCATTATTAGTGAAGGCTCTTAGAAAGTAGCTTCTAATGACTTCGGAGACAGACTATAACTCGTAACTGTTGTCTCTTTTAGAAACTCCTCGCGAATAGAATTCTCGATTAAAAATGAAGTAAGCTAGTTGCTTAAGATGTTGAAGCTTATCTAACCGTCAGCCTGTTGATTGCTCAAGATGTCGAGTCTTAATCAGCCTGATGGTTGCTTATCTTCGGAGATAACTTATTAGGCCAACTAAAAGCTAGAGTTTTCGTGAAGTAAAAAAATTGATTTGAACTTGAAGCAAAGAACTTTTACAGTTCAGAAGAAAAGTTTGTTTATAGAAAAAATATACAGACTTTGTAGAGAGAATGGTGGAACATGAGTGGAAACAAACGGACGTGAAACTGCAAAGGCGAAAGACGATTAAGTGCTTCATCCTCGAGTAGCGCGACTTAGCGAGAGATAGTGCACTGTCGTTTACATTTCCTCGACAACTCGACTCCACTTCCTTTCGCGTCTCTCGTCGTCGTTGAAATTCAACGGACCGTCTCCGATTTATGATAGCCACTATTAATTGCTGCCTCGATAAAGAACCGGACCAACAGTCTTGTGCGATTGATTATGCGTCAGGTAACATCGGTATGGGCTAAGGACGATGATAACATGCTTCCGAGACGAATTGGACTCGAAATAGAAAGGAAAATTTCTCTTGGGAACGAGACAATTCCGAGTACTTGGCTCTCACATGTAGAGAAAGAGAGAACCTTTTTCCATCAAATAGTGTAAGCAAGGAATTTAGGACGTACGTCATTGGCTCCAGAAAATGCATTAACTCGCTGACGCATGCGCAACGCACATCCACGTACTGCAAATGCGTAAAATTGGGTCATTTCGGAGCGACGTGCACAGCTCGTGCGCGACGAGTTATAGAAATTCGACTGGAGAGAAAATTACCCTGGTTCAAAAAACCTCTATGACATGTTGGAGAGAATCATAGTTTTAACCCTTTTAGGAGCACATTTTTTTGTGTAGATCGACAACAAAGATCATGATGGTTTTATAGGTTTTTGGGTCACTGATTACGAATCAGGCATCATAATTTCAAAATTCAAGATGGCGGATTCAAGATGGCGGATTATATCTTAGAAATATTGACAAACTTGATATTTTCAAAAAATTCAATAAAAGGCTTAAAGGACCAGCGCAATGATGTAAAGAAGCGAAAAAACGGTTATATTAATGTAATACATCCAATAAAATGTTTATTTAATATAAATGACAAACGCTGCGTTTCGATCCAATTCGGATCCTTTTCAATGTCAAATCGCGAAAATTGATATTTTCAGATGAAATCACGTATATATGGATTTTCAGGGTCAAGGTACAAAAAACAGTGACCCTATAAAATTCTCAATATGTAAAATTCTCAATTCCAGACAAAAATAAAAAATACATAAAGCGTGTTAGCATGGAAAGCCAGAAGAAATTCTATAATTCATGGATTTTTTTCTCAAAAACTACACATCTAATCGAAAAAACATCAAGAATACTTTCTTCTTCAAATTATATGCAAAATATGATAAGATTTTTTAAAATTGAAAATTATCAGATTTTAGATATGTCATCCGCCATATTGGATCCGCCATCTTGGATTTCCAAAATCTGAGGCCGGCATTGTGATCAGAGACCTCGAAAACTTATATATGTGCAATTTGGGATTGATTCAACAAGACCTGTATTCAAAACTGATTTTTTTCCGAAAAAATAGTGCTTTTTTCATATTAATTATTTATTAATTAATTATTGTCAACCCCCCCAGTGAAAAGGGATGGAAGATTACAATATGTAGATAATCAGAAGTCTAAGGAACTTGATTGCATGCATGTAACTGCCGTAATACATAATGAGGAAAATACTAAAGATAAATAGGTGTATCATATATGATACACCGCCCCTCAAAGGATTAAACTGACAGCCCAATAAACACAAAGGTCCATATTCTGAATCCTCTTTTATCGATAAAAGTGCCTTTAAAAGTGACTTATAGCCAATCAGAAGGCTTATAAGCCACTTTTAGAAGCACTTTTAAAATAAAAGAAGATTCAGAATATGGGCCAAAGTGACAGTATATAATATAACATTAATGTTATAATTTTCCACTCAACAACTGTAACTGTTATGTACATGTTACATTTATGTTATATTCCTGTTACTTTTCTTTTTGTTTACTGGAAGAGTACGTTTCGACTCGAATTCTGTGCTGTATCGTTTATCATTTCGCCGCGGTTGTTTTTCGATCAATCTGGCGGAACAAGTCGGTGAAACCGAACACGAGATACCCTTATTAGTCCTTTCACCTGGTGACCTGATTTTTCGCGGCACGCTTCGTGGCGTGCTGGTATACTAGTGGTCGTTCGATAAAACGCCTATACCGGCGTCGAACTAAAAATACTTTATATCCGTTCAACAGGTGTTTGAGATAAGAATGTCAACGTACTTACGGAGTAATCTCGTGCAGACAGATACAATGTCAGCGGATCGCTCGTTCCTGCGAACATAAAACAATGCTTGATTGAATCACGATTGTCTCATCTAACTTCACAAGTCGTAATGCTACGAAGTTCTTATTTTCACGTTATATCTCGAATGATCTCATCAGAGGACGAGATAGCGGAACGATTAGTTTACTCGAGGCTCACACTCGAGTCGTTAACTAATTGAAAAAAAGTAAGGTTATCGAGATAAATTTGTCGAATCTTCAAGAATCCTCTCGACGGGGGTGGACTTTCGCATGAAAAGATGGCGATCGAGAAAACACTTTTTTCGCGATTTTTAATTTTTACAAATGTCATTCATGTCGGGATGGACCCTCTCGAGTCCAGCAAACATCGGCAGATGCGCGTTTCTCGTCGACGCTTCGCATAAAGGACCGTCTATGCTGCCAACTCTGTTGATCTGCCTCGTGAAACTCGATATCCATCATGTAGGACGGAGACGACAGTTCGCATATAGCGAGCTTATAAGTATTCTAAGTGCTCCTCGCGAGCCATTATGTCATCCTCTTATATCGAGCGTGTTTTGTAATGATGTACAATACTCGCATGGATACTTGACGATGAGTCGACGAGCTTAACTTAATAATTGTTCGCAACTTACATAGCACTAGTTTTAACGAGCATCTGCATACTTTATGCACCTAACAATAAATATACACCAAGTATACATAAGAATGATACAGCGATTAGCGACAGAGTGTACTATTGATATCTTAATTTTATGGAAATGAAGCTATAATCGTTGCACAGAGTTTGCAGAGATTGAGGTTTCACAAGTGAATTATTCAAGGAGTTATATAAACACTTAATTTGTAAAGTATAAAACGGGGAATCTAGTACCCAATAAGCGATCATAAACTTTTTACGATATATCTAAATGATACACTGAGGAAAATCGTTTGATTGTATCAACAAGACGTATATGATTGAAGGCATTTTGGTTAAATCAAACAAGAATTTCTAGTTATCATGATAAGACTCGATTTTTTATAACTAGAACATTTAATAGATTTTACTATAGGGATTTGGTTAGTATCTTCTGATTGAATCTATAAAATTTCTTGTTACATTAATTTCTTTGCTTGCCGCTAGGCGGCGATTCACTCTTAACTTAACTCGTATTTGCCATGAAATGTATATAAAAAACTAGTATTAACATTAAATCCAAAGTATATTTTTTTTCTCTTACAAGCAGTAGTGCCAGAAAGAGGACGCTAGCTCTCTGATTGTGTGTTTGAGCTGCATCCTCTTTTTGCATCATTGTTTATCAGTTTAATTTTTAACAAACTGAACTTAAAATAATTTATTCAACAATCTTGATTGAATTTTATGCAATAATCGTGTTGGAATTCACAATATTAAACAGACTTTGGAAATTAGATGGAAAACATTTTAGACGACTTGGTGCTGGCAAGTTTAGTATTATTAACCAGAAAATTTGGTAAATTTAACAGGAAGAAATTAATCAGGTTCATCTGGTAATTTCTATAAGAATTCTGGTTCGTCCATTTTCCAACAGACTGTTTTGAACTTGGTTGAATCTATCAGAATTCTAATTAATGCAATCAGATTTTTTCTCAGTGTAAGAAAAATTCTAAGTGGCTGCGTAAAATTCTCGAGAAATTGATAAGAGAAAGAGAGATCTCTTTCATCTTCATAATTCATATTTTTGCAATTTCTAATTTAAAGAGAATTTATCTCACTGAGAATTTATATTCCTTATTACTACGTATGTACATAAATGATTTTAGTGAGTTTTCGTATTGTGATAAATATACATGACTTTTCGATAAGAGTTTATCAAGTTATATACATGACGATCTTACATCTCGGACTTTCAATGAATATTTATTGAAAGTTCGATCTGAATTCTCTCATCGTATCTTCCCTTTTTTGCAGAACAAAACAGATGCCGATGTCATCAGAATGACAGCCTACATTCTTATCGTAGCCGGTGCTCTTACGTTCATCGTCAGTTTCCTTGGGTATTGCGGTGCCATGTTCGAGTCTAGATGTCTTCTCTGCGTCGTAAGTCCGTTCTAATAAAGCTTGCTTCATTCAAAATTTTCGATGTGATGTTTATATATTCTGAATTGATTAGATAAAGATTAGAGAAACAGTTTCGCAAAATATGGAGCAAAACAAAAGTACAAGTAAGCTGTCGAAGTTTAAGCATTCATTAATGTACATTTTTTTGTATATTACATTAAGAATATATTATGCATATTTCAATATATAAATAATTTTGCATCAACGGAAGTGTGTAAATACATATACAGGGTGAGGCATTTATCTTGAGACAAGATAATATCTCGATTGGAGTCGATTATTTTGAAAAAAGTTTTAGACAAAAGTTGTATGGTTTCAAGGGGGACATAAAATGGTGTCATTAGTTTGATCTTGAAGAGCCACCTGAAGGACACGCGAAGGTCAATTGGTGTAAAGAAAACTCATAGTTGTTTCGAAAAAAAAAATGTAATTTGCAATTAACAATTACATATTTTTTCTTAAAAATAACTATGTCTTTTCTTTACACCAATTGATTCCTCTCATTATTTTGTACATAAAAGTATTAAGGTAAAATAATCGAAAAATGAATATTTTACAAGATATTTTACGGTTTATGTAAAATTAAAAAATGATTTCAAGCCTCATAACTTGGAAAGTACTTAATGAAAACTAACTTAATTATAATGTTTTGGAAAGCTCTTGAGATGAGCTACAAGAATATGCAAAAGCATATAGGGTGTCCCATTTAAAAAGTTGGAGCTGACCTTCGCGTGTCCTTCAGGTGGCTCTTCAAGATCAAACTAATAACACCATCTTATGTCCCCCTTGAAACCATACAACTTTTGTCTAAAACTTTTTTCAAAATAATCGACTCCAATCGAGATATTATCTTGTCTCAAGATAAATGCCCCACCCTGTATATCTTATAATAAATGCGCGATATCGACAAGAAAATTCTAGAGTATTACATATCAATATTTTGATAAAATATTATTATGATCGAAACTCTTAAGTTTCAGTCAAAGATCACAGCTTATTGAAAATGGCATATGTATGAGGTATGAACAAAAAGTTTGTGCACTGAGAATTTTTTTCTCGCTTCTATGGTGGTTTGGCATCTAGGAAGTTTTACGAGTAATGCAATTTAGCTCACTATCGAGGGCGCATTTTTTTGTGAAGGCAGCTTTTTTGCGCGGTCGAAATGGACCGAGATGTTTTAATCGAGCAAAGAGCCAACATCAAATTTCTTGTGAAACTCGATAAAAGCGGGCCAAAAATTCTTCAAATATTAGAAACTGTGTAAGCGGAATCTGAAGCGTAGAACTGTATATGGCTGGACCGGTTTAAGGAAAGGAGACCATCGATGACACGCGAGAGGGTTGCCCTTCAACGTCACGTGTTGACGAAAACATTCAACGTGTTCACGATTTGGTGATGTCAGACTGTCGCATTGCTACTAGAATGATTGCTGCTGAGCTGGGAATTAGTAAAGGAATTAGTAATGTTCAAATAATTTTAAAAGAAGATTTAAACATGTGGAAGCTGCGCAAAAATCGTTCCGAAAGTTTTGACTCAGGAGTAAAAACAACAATGTATTGCTTGTTGCCAAGATTGGATGGAGAATGAAGAGGATTAGAATTTCTTGCAAAGGATGATAACTGGAGATGAATCATGGATTTACGAGTATGATCCGGAAATAAAAAGGCTGAGAGAAGAATGGAAACATGTTGGTTCGCCTCACAGCAAAAAAGTGCGCAAGAATCCTTCAAAAATCAAGTCTATACTCTTCCTTTTTTTTTATGCAGGGTGAGGAAAAAGTATGGAAACCCCTAAATTTTTTGAAAACTATGTATTTTAGAAACAAATGTTTCAGACAAGTTGTAAGGTTTCAAGTAACGCATTACGTAGCAATATCAGTATAACCTTAAACAGCACCGTCAAGATCACATAAAAATCACTTTGAATTTTTTAAATGGAGCTCCCTACTTTTTATTATATATTCTTGTAGCTTGTTTCAAGAGCTTTCCAAAACACTATAATAAAGTATTCATTCAGTTAGTACTTTTTAAGTTATAAGGCTTGAAATAATTTCTTAATATTACATAAACCGTAAACAATAAAATATTTTTTCTTCAAAACTATGTTTTTTCTTTACACCAATTGATTCTTCACATTATCTTATGCATAAAAGTATGAAGATAAGATAATAAAAAAATGAATATTTTATTAAATATTTTATGGTTTATGTAAAATTAAGAAATTATTTCAAGCCTTATAACTCGAAAAGTATTCAATGAAGAAATACTTTATTATACTATTTTGGAAAGCTCTTGAAACAAGCTACAAGAATGTGTAATAAAAAATAGGGACTTTTATTTAAAAAATTCCAATTGATTTTTATGTGACCTTGACGGTGCTATTCAAGGTCATACTGATATTGCTACATAATGCGTTACTTGAAATCCTACAACTTCTGTCTGAAACATTTGTTTCAAAATGCATAGTTTTCGAAAAATTTAAAGGTTTCTATACTTTTTCCTCACCCTGTATATACAGGGTGTCCCATTTTAATCCATCCAGTCGAATATCTTGAAATCCAAGCCCGAGAGAGAAAAATGTTTCAGACAAAAGTTGTATGATTTCAAGGGTGCTATAAGAAGGTACCATTGGTTTGACCTTGAAGAATCATTTGAAGGTTATGCGAAGGTTACTTCAATTTTTTTAAAAGGAACACCCTATATATTTTTGTATATTCTTATAGCTCATCTCGAGAGCTTTCCAAAACACTATAATAAAGTATTTCTTCATCGAACACTTTTCGAGTTATGAGACTTGAAATAATTTCTTAATTTTACATAAACCATAACATGTATCTAGTAAAATATTCTAGTATATATTTTTCGATTATCTTACCTTAATATTTTTATGTACAAAATAATGAGAGGAATCAATTGGTGTAAAGAAAACAACTGTATGTTTTCTTTATATCATGTCTGAAACATTTTTCTCTCTCGGGCTTGGTTTTCGAGATATTCGACTAGGTGGATTAAAATGGGACACCCCGTATATATATATATATATATATATATATATATATTTGAGGAGTACATTTTGGGGATGTGGAGAGCATGAAATGAGACTCCTGAAAGACCTAACTTTGCAGGATATGCAATACTGTTTTTAATAATGGAAAAAGAGTATTTTGGAAGAGTACTTTGAGAGTGATCGCGTTCTGGAATAATTAAAATTAGATTTTTGATGAGCTCAGTACACGAACGTTTTGTTCACACCTCGTAATTTAATAATGCAAGATACTCGCCCTTTTCTCTCATTCGTGATATGATAGCTAAAATAGAAGAGAGTAAGTTTACATAAAAATGTATGTAAAAAAATGTATTTGTCTAACGATGCTTTTTCGAGAGAAGCAAATTTCGTGAATCGATTTCATTTTACGTTTCGGATTTTTAATTTTTTAATGTGGTATGATTACAGTACGGCATTCTAATCTTGCTGGTTTTAGTCCTGGAGTGTGTGGTGGTTGGACTAGCTTTTGGACTTAAAGGAGATGTGCGTATCAATCTAATTTTCCCGTTTTCTTGCACAAATGCGCTTCCACCTGGTGAAATCACAAGTTCGATTAATTATCGAGCAATTACGATAGACCAGTGCGGATTGAATGAATGACGATCACAGATACATAGACATTAAGGCTCGCTTTAATATGAAATTTAAATGTAGGCCGAGAAAGGTATGCAGAGCTTCTTGAAGTCGACCATCAAATATTATGCGACCACCGCTGATAAAGCTGAAACAGTGACGGTCGCGTGGGACGGTATTATGAGCCAGGTAAAGCTACCAATTATTATTTAATGAGTGCTTAAGTTAATTATCATTGATAATCAATTAACTTTGAGCGACGAGTTGAATTAATTGGTACATCGATTCTTCCGGATTTCATTTATCTTACATGTATAAGCGCGATTAATTGTCTAAAGTGCTTCGCTAATTGTACCGTGTTTCGGTATAAGTGAAAGTCGGCAATATTACTCATATTAGTGAGCCATCGCGTTCACCATCCTATCACTTGCAGTAAAATTACAAACTTATCTTAAATTTGTCTACAAATTATGGAAAAAATGCGTAGAAAGTGTCATTTTATAATATTTTAAAATTCATCAAAAATCGATATTTAGAAGAATATTATTTATCCGTTAGTTTTATTACATTAATAGGGCTTTCGTGCCGTTAATTAGCTAGCTTAAGTGATATAAGGAGCAATAATAATTTATCTAATTATTCACTTGTTCAATTATTTAATTTATGAATATATAATATACTTTCTCTGCGTTTTTTTTTTATTACAGTAAACAAAAAATAATATACTTCGTTTGTATAATGATCAACGACACATGATAGATAAGCATTATTTCATATTAATGGAAATATTTTCAGCTTCATTGTTGCGGCGTGGAAAGTTATCGGGACTTCAGCGAAAATACGAATCTGACTGCAATCGGAAAATTGATTCCCGAAGCCTGCTGTATAAAAATGAGTGAAGGATCTAACGTTCTGAAGGATTCCTCGTGTCCAATTAGTCCTACCGCTTCCAATTCGTACTATCTAACGGTAAATTGAGTTTATTATTACTTATTATTATTATTATTATTATTATTATTATTATTATTATTATTATTATTATTATTATTATTATTATTATATTTATTATTATTATTACTTTACTGACCTTTCCTTTATTATTCGGTGTATTCAAAACTGAGAGTAGAATCATTCAATACGTTTAACGTAATTGTTTCCTGAAGACAGTGTTCATGATACGGACATGCATTTGTCTATAGCATACTTTCTCCTTGACAATTTTCTGAGCGTGACTCGGCATTGGCATTGCGTGTTTCTAATTCTCGTACGACGCATCCATAAAGATATACGTACCAATTGAACAAATACGTTCGTGCTATGCGTGATGAACATTTATATAAGCCTCATGTACAATAGATTATTTTCAAATTGACATTTTCCAAAATCCGCAATAAAAAAGATTTGATATTTTAGTTTGATATATATTAAACATTCCGTTAACATAACTTTTTCGGACTAAAATTTCAGGTCAAAGTCAAGTCAAATTTATACTTAAAATTTATTTGTAAACAACCCAAAGAACACATTGTAGTCAAAATGACGTTATTTTGACGTCATAATTGACGATTTTTGGTTACAAAATTTGACGATTTGTTGACGATTATTAATATACGCTATAAATGGATTATTTCTCATTTATATCCACCTAATTTCAAATAATCTGTTTCTATTTTGAATTCCAACAAGGAATCCAGATTATTAAATAAATTATTTTAAATTTGGTTTATTAGAAATTAAACTGATAAATACCCAAAGAACACATTGTAGTCAAAATGACGTTATTTTGACGTCATAATTACATCACAATAGAAGAAATCAAAATGACGATTTTTGGTTACAAAATTTGACGATTTGTTGACGATTATTAATATACGCTATAAATGAATTATTTCTCATCCACTTAATTTCAAATAATCTGTTTAATATTTTGAATTCCAACAAGGAATCCAGATTATTAAATAAATTATTTTAAATTTGGTTTATTAGAAATTAAACTGATAAATAGTGATGCCAGGAACAGGAAGAGAACATTACCCATACGCACACAAGCAGAGAGCTGCTACGTAGTTCTCTGATTGTGTGCATGTGAGCATCGTCCTCTTTCTGGCACTATTGCTCAAAAGGAAAAAAATATACTATAGATCTTATCTAATGTTTAGCAGCACTTTATCTATATCCTCTATACAGGGTGACCCATTTTAACTTAGGCAGCCAAATAACTCGAAAAATAAGCACACTACGAAAAAATGGTTAGAATCAAAATTTCGTCATTTCGAGGGGGACGTACAATGACGTTAAAATCAGCCCCCCCACCCCTCCCCCTGGGCGGTGAGGGGGGGCAAGTTTGAAATCTTAAATGGGAACCCCTATTTTTTATTGCATATTCCTGTAGCTTATCTCGAGAGCTTTCCAAAACGCTATAATTAAGTACCTTTTTATTAAGTATTTTTTGAGTTATAAGGCTTGAAATAATTTCTTAATTTTACATAAACCATAAAATATCTAGTAAACCATTCATTTTTCGATTATCTTATCTTGATACTTTTATGTACAAAATAATGAGAGGAATCAATTGGTGTAAAGAAAACATACAGTTGTTTTTAAGAAAAAATATGGAATTGTTAATTGCAAATTACATATTTTTTCTTAGAAACAACTATGTGTTTTCTTTACACCAATTGATTCCTCTCATTATTTTGTACATAGAAGTATGAAGGTAAGATAATCGAAAAATGAATGGTTTACTAGATATTTTATGGTTTATGTAAAATTAAGAAATTATTTCAAGCCTTATAACTCAAAAAGTACTTAATAAAAAGGTACTTAATTATAGTGTTTTGGAAAGCTCTCGAGATAAGCTACAGGAATATGCAATAAAAAATAGGAGTTCCCATTTAAGATTTCAAACTTGCCCCCCCTCACCGCCCAGGGGGAGGGGTGGGGGGGCTGATTTTAACGTCATTGTACGTCCCCCTCGAAATGACGAAATTTTGATTCTAACCATTTTTTCGTAGTGTGCTTATTTTTCGAGTTATTTGGCTGCCTAAGTTAAAATGGGTCACCCTGTATACATTAATGATGAAAAATTGAATACAAATTTAGTTAAGTTTGGTACGCCGCGTAGCGGCAAATGTAGAAACTCATTGTATAAATGTATACAGGATTAGGAAAAAGTCTGGATATATTCCCTTAATATTTCGAAAAATACGCATACATTTAAAAAAAAAATGTTTTATACAAAAGTTATAGGGTTTTATGTAGCATATTACACAGCAACATTATTATGACCTCGCGTTGTCAAGGTTATGTGAAGATCAGCTTCAATTTTTTAAATGGAACCCCCTATTTTTCATTGCATATTCTTGTAGCTTACCTCGAGAGCTTTCCAAAACACTATAATAAATTATTTTTCCATGAAGAATACTTTTCGAGTTATGAGGGTTGAAATCATTCCTTAATTTTACATAAACGTAAAATATCTTGTAAAATATTCATTTTTCAATTACCTTAATACTTTTATGCACAAAATAATGAGAGGAATCAATTGGTGCAAAGAAAACATACATTTGTTTCTAAGAAAAAATATGTAATTTGCAATTAACAATTCCATATTTTTTCTTAAAAACAACTATATGTTTTCTTTACACCAATTGATTCCTCTCATTATTTTGTGCATAAAAGTATTAAGATAAGATAATTGAAAAATGAATATTTTACAAGATATTTTATAGTTTATGTAAAATTAAGAAATCAGCCTCATGTCAAGCCTCATAATTCGAAAAGTTTTTCGAAAATGGAAAAATAATTTATTATATTGTTTTGGAAGGTTCTCGAGGGGATTCTATTTAAAAAATTGAAGCTGACCTTCATATAACCTTGACAACGCTGTTCAAGATCATAATAATGTAACTGTGTAATGCGCCACATAAAACCGTATAACTCTTGAAACATTTTTTTTAAAAATGCGTATTTAAAGGGTATATTAAGGGGTATATTAAGGGGTATATTAATGCGAAATATTAAGGGGTATCCAGACTTTTTCCTAACCCTGTATAAAAGTAAGATGATAATAAAAAGGCTATTAAATTATAAAAAATGATCCATTGATGACATCGAAGTGACATAAAGCCATATACGTAAATAATCATTTTCAGAACTTTTATGCATACTAAACTTCATACTATACTACTATATTAAATTTGCAAAACAAGCGCAAAGTCATTTTTCCGTCACGAGCAGTATATGTTACTGAGGTCAAATTTTCGTCACATGACTATTTCGAGTCAAAATAAAGTCATTTTGACTTTTTCTTGACTTTAGTGTATTCCTTGGGAATAAGCTTAACACATGAAATGTTCAGTATCGATACTTTTCTTAAGAAGATATTCACTTGAAATTAGCTAAAGAATTCGTATATAAAGTTACACAAATATATTTACGTAAATGGAATATGTTAGGTAAACTGATGATTACTTATCTATCTTGTAGGGTTGCTATCAGGCTATAATGACCGCCATCGAGGAGAATGCGGCGATAGTGATCGGTGTGGCCGCTGCCCTGGTCTTCGTCGAGGTCTTGGTCATTATTCTGGCGCTCTATCTAGCCTGCTGCTACTGGCGTCCACAACATGGTAGGCTCGGTGTTAAAGTCAGTTACTAAATGCTAAATAAATCTATTACGGTAGTAAGCGTGCGCGCGCGCAACAGTAACTTACGATATTCGTTGAAACGATTTCCCTCGGCCGTTGTAGTGATGCCTCAGTTTTCGTAAATTGACGGTAAAATATGACCTCTTTAACACTTTGCAGTTTATCGATGCGTAGAACCTTCTGGCAAGGAATAAACCTCGAGAGCAGAATGCGCTAAGCTTTCTTCTGCCAGCAGTTCTTTTGAACGCAGTTCATTTTCCTTTATGGACTTCGCGAATATACCTCGACTGTGTTTGTATGTGTATTATGTAATACACATACAAGATGATCATATGCGCATGTATGCATGTATATGCGTATGCATATTCATATGCATACATGTAGGTACGTGTTTTCGTGTTTTCCAACGCAACGGCGACTCAAATCGAATCCGGTGGCATCGCATCGTGCGCTTCGACTGCATACAGTTTCAGAAACCACGACGTAAGAAATCGAAGGGTTGCGAATTAGAAATGACGTACACGTGAAATGTTTATATTTCAGTCTCGATTGGTGATCGCCAATTGACGGATCACGATTCGAACCCTTCGATTATGCTCTATCTATCGGCGGCATGTTAACACATGAATTTTCGCGAAAAATTGCGTTGAGCGGAAAGCGTTTTCACTTTGTGAAGTCCAATCAGCGACAAAGCCTCGAGTGCATGTGCCAAATTCAATCGCGCTAAGAGCCTTCGCTTTGACGTTTCAAGTATCAATGCATCAAATTTACATTTCGCTTTCGCTGATATTCAATTTACTAGGAAAAAAACATGGAAAATCTCATCGAATTCTCAGGGATTTTTTTGTACCTCGAGAAATCAGACAAATTCGTAAAAATTTATCGGGATTCGGGATATTTTTTTACAAGAAATTCTCTTTGATGATGCTTTTATATTTTGTAAACAATCGGCAATCCGCTGAAGTATGAATTATATGTATTTCAAATATATTATAAATATATATCTATCTTTGTTTATATATTTTCATTGTCCTAATAAAATATTAAATATGCAGTAAATATTTATGTTATCGTAATATTTAATGATTTTTAAAGAAATAGAAATGTTACACAAGTGCACAATGTTTATCTTAAAGCTTTTCTCACAAGGAAAGGTATCCAATTGTCACTCATGGATTCTAATGAAACTTTGTACACTTGTAAAACTATGCAAAATAAAAGACAAGTATTTTTTTTATCTGTGGAGAAGCAATTTTAAGGGCAGAAACAACCACCCCTTGTATACAGGGTGGGCCATTTTTTTAAATGGAACCACCTACTTTTTATTGCATATTCTTGTAGCTTATCTCGAGAGCTTTCCAAAACAGTATAATAATGTTACTGTACGTCAAGTATTTTCCGAGTTAGAAGGCTTGAAAGTTACATTATATAGTAGATGGGGCAGTTGTTTCTGCCCTCAAAATCGCTTCTCCGCAGATAAAAAAAAATACGTGTCTATTATTTTGCATAGTTTTACAAGTGTACAAAGTTTCATTAGAATCCGTGAGTGACAGTTGGATACTTTTCCTTGTCAGTATATTTGCAAATCTCGCATTTGGAATTTAAGCAACTCCATGCTTCTCCTTCATATGAGTGAAAATCAAAAAGCGTAAATATTCAATTAGAAAAACGTTTATTTTAGAAAGTGGTACCAACAATTTAAAAAAATCCTTTTTACTTGAAATCAAAATATTTGAAGATCAGGAAATTTTTTTTATAAAATTTGAGTAGACACCTTGTAAAACGTCGCTGTTTTTTCAATGCGGCGAACACTCATTGATCGTTCAACATCTCTTGATGTATCTTGAAATGAAATTTCTCCTTTTCTTAACGCGGAATTAAGTCAAGAAGACACTTTTGTTTTGCGACGCGAAATGGGACGAGAATGCTCGGAGATTTCTTTTCATGTCACCGAGCATATCATTAGCATAAATATTCGGTCTCTGTCCGCTCAACGCACGCTTATCAATGACGTCCGTATCAATGTCGTCATCGCACTGTTCACCGTGCACATGATTCAAATGCTTTTATTGCTCGGGCGCGCGAAATGACCAAAATAATGTACATATCCGGGACGTGTACATATTTCTCGAACGTCAACAGCTTCGAATTGTCCAAGTTGTTTTTCGTACGAGATAAAGGATAAAATGCGAGATCTCCACGTATTTAAATAACACGTACGTAATTGTATCGATTACGAACGAGTCGAACTATCGAGAGAGAACGAAAAACTTAATTTCCCAAGATTCTTAATATCCATCCAATTGCACGTAGCTATTTCCGACATCTCACATTCCGTTATATCAGTACAAAAAAAAATTTGTTGCACACGATTTTCCACGTAGCGTTATAGACGATTGAAAGTGTTGCAGCACAATTTCACGTTCAGATCCTAGACGAGGATAAGGTGTCGTTGGAAATGTTAAAATCACAATGTTATAAATGTTATTATACGCGCATATCCGCGATTTTGATCACGCACGATCTATCCTATTAAAAGTAGATCCTTCTCCCACAATCGGAAAGCATTGACAAATGGACGTTCTTTTAGCTTGTGTAGACGTATCGTCAAGACAGGCCTGGTGAGGTGCTGAAGTAAGGATGATGATTTTGATGGGATTTGCTTTCAAGTAAGATGGAGGTTGAAGCTGTCAGTTGACAGCTGATTCCTCCCACGCTGCTGCTTCGCTGCAGCGTCTAGATCTATCCTCCATTTCTACTCTACAAGCGTTCTTTCGTGAATTCTATCGAGGCATGGTAGCTTTGCTCTCTACCCTTGCATGGCCATGCTGTTGTATATAATTTGACAGAAAGAGAGAGATGCGGATATATGCGAAGACAAAGAGGGAGGCCCGATTGCATCGTTACGCGGCGCAACCTGCAGACAGGAAGTGCGTTTAGCAAGGGATATCCTGATATAGTATCATCGATGAGAGACTAAATTTCCACCGAGAGTTCGATTCGGGTCAGAGTTGGATCAAAGTCGAGTCAGAGTTGGATCAAAGTCGGGTCAGAGTCAAGTTGGGGTGAAACACCAATAAACCCTATTCTGACCTTTTTATGGTGGAAACACCAATAAACCCTATTCTGACCCAATTCTGACCCAACTCTGACCCGATTCGAACTCTTGGTGGAAACTTAGTCAGAGATTACACAGCGCATCTAGGATGTGTGATTGAAATAAGAAATAAATTATACAAAGAAAAGATACGAAAAGATACGTATAAAGTAGCCTGATGTAAACGTCTTAATCTGTGCAATCGTTGTTTCGTGTTTACATCTAATCTAAAAATAATATTAATTATAATTAGACAGTCTTCGAGTTTCGCGAAATACAATGATATCATTTATGATAATTTATATACAAGTAAATTATGAAGCAATAATTACGATTATGCTGAAGACGAGGCCAAAGTAGAAAAATATAGATCGCTCTAATCGAAGCGTTACTTTTGCAATATTCTTTCTTCTTTAATTTTAAATAAATAACTGTAAATATAAAAATAAACTATAAATTTACTTTTATATTAATTTTATATATTCGAGCGAGATTCAAAAATCTTTCTTCTAACTATACTATAGTTCGCGCTCTCAGAAACGGAACGAATTATTCAAACGTATTCGTTCAAACGAATATGCAATTGGGCCTGTAAAGTTTCTTTTTCGCTTACAGCGTTACAATTTCATTTCATTTCACGATTTGTTCATACTCGAACGACTCTATCGGCACAAGTTATTAAACACACGTGACAAAATTCTACTCGGAATTGTCGTACGTAGTAACGCAACATTAACTGTTTCTTTCCGTCCCACCCCATTTCATTGAAATTAGAGTAGCTTAGTCAGTCTATATCGTCTGAATGTTGCAAACGCTATATACGTACCTAACAGATACATCATAGATGGCGAGATGAAAGAATCTCATTCATGCATAATGTAAAGAACACAAAATATATTACTGTGTAAATGTGAGTACAAACGTACAATTTCGAGGAGAAATCCAATACATTGATAAGAAATTGATTAATGCGTGTTAGTGTATATTCTCAATGTTTAACACACACTGCTGTATACGCAATTTGTATACGTATGCGCACCATACAAACACATACACGGAGACCCAAAGCAACAGACACTCTAAGACTGAAAATTAAGAAATCAAATTTAACGCATGCACACTACAAATGATCTGACGATTTATGCAGATTTTACAAATCGACAATGTCACTTACTTGAACATGACGAGATACGTGTATTTAGATGAAATATAGTTTGTATATTCTTGACATAGATGTAACGAACGTGAAACGAACTTTTGATTCCTTGTTCATTTTGTATAGAAGTAAAATAAAATTGTATCAGTATATCGCACGTATCTCCCGCGTATATTACATAATAATGTACGTGTGGAAAATGCCAAAAAAATAATGATGCACAAATGATCTTACGCTTTTTCCTCGGTACCTGAACTTCTCTAGATTCTTAACAACCGATCCATAGAGAAGATTTGAATTATATTGCAGCAATGTTGCATAATGTAGTGCGCTGTTACAACCCATACGGCACACAAAGATTGCATACACATTGCAGCAATCTTTCACCGCAATATTGCAACGTTGCAAATTCACTGCAAAATGTTGCCGCGTTGTGGGATTGCAGCAATGTTAAAATGTTCGCTTTCAGGAATATTGTAATGTAAGGTTATAGCAATGTTACGGTGCAACGTATTTGTAATATTAAACGCGTTTTGCTAAAAATGCAAACACCGTTTTAAATTTAATAAAAAAATTTGAAAATATAAAAAATAGGTTTAAAAAAGATAGGAAAAAAATGTCTTTAAAAAAACATCTATTAGTGTTTTTTATTAAATGTTTCTTAAATATTTATCTCAATAATATACATACAATTATTTTACATACATTCGACACCAGAATATTTTAATACGTGCAATAAATTATTTCCTATTTACCTATTCAATTAAGAAAAATCTGTTTAATATTCTGAAACCCAATGAAGGATTCAGATCATTAAACAAATTATTTGTTTAATAATCTAGATCCCTCATTAGAATTCAGAATATTAAGTAAACCAAGTCAGTTTATCAGAAATTAAGCTCACCCAAAACAAGAAATATAATTAGTACATTAATCCTTTGTAGACTTATATCCTTATATCTTAGATGAATTCGAATACGAATTAGTTAAATTGGGTGTCGCTGCGGCAAATAAAGAAACACATGTTATATATTTTCGCTGTATTAAAACGTTGCTGCAACATTGCCAAAATAATATCTCTGCATTACTTCTGCAACATTACACTGCAGTGAGCAATATTGTAACATTGCAACAATGTTGATGCAAACTTCTATGCTGTATCCCATACAACACACAAAGATTGCAAACACATTGCAGCAATCTTTTACCGCAATATTGCAACGTTGCAAATTCACTGCAAAATGTTGCTGCATAATTGTTGTGGGATTACAGCAACGTTAAAATGTCCGCTTTCAGGAATATTGCAATGTAAGATTATAGTAATGTTACGATTCAACGTATTTGTAATATTAAACGCGTTTTGCTAAAAATGCAAACACCGTTTTAAATTTAATAAAAAAAATGTGAAAATATAAAAAAATGTTTAAAAAAGGTAGGAAAAAAATGTCTTTAAAAAAACATCTATATTAGTGTTTTTTATTAGATGTTTCTTAAATATTTATCTCAATAATATACATACAATTATTTTACATACATTAGACACCAGAATATTTTAATACGTGCAACAAATGAATTATTTCCTATTTACCTATTCAATTAAGAAAAATCTGTTTAATATTCTGAAACCCAATGAAGATTATCACAAATTATTAATATTAATATTAAACAAATTATTTGTTTAATAATCTAGATCCCTCATTAGAATTCAGAATATTAAGTAAACCAAGTCAGTTTATCAGAAATTAAACTGACACAAGACAAGAAATATAATTACTACATTAATCCTTTGTAGACTTATATCCTTATATCCATCTCAGATGAATTCGAATACGAGTTAGTTGAATTGGGTGTCGTCGCGTAGCGGCAAGTAAAGAAACACATGTTATATATTTTCGCTGTGTTAAAACGTTGCTGCAACATTGCCAAAGTAATATTACAAAATAATGTCTGCACTACATCTGCAATATTACACTGCAGTGAGCAATATTGTAACATTGCAGCAATATTGATGCAAGCTTCTGTGCTGTATGGGAAGGACAGTGTGTTGCGGTAACGTATCCGCAACATTGTATTTTTACAATTAAATGCTGTATAAATGCAGTGCCAATTATTATTATCGCGCTTATAGATCGGCTTGAAGAAACGTGTTTTAAACACGTTCTTTCTCTCTGTGTTAGTATGCGTGCGCGTACGTACACACACGATCGATTGACATATAATTCAATTTTACGATGCTCTTTATACTCATGGCTACTAATTGTTCATGCCACACATTCTAGACATTTTCGTTTCCAGTGTTAACTTGTTGGTGCTGCTGTTGACGAGGCATTAAGAGCATGGAACTGTTGAGTAGTGCCTCCTAGCACGTTGAGAGCCCTTAGTGTGCTCCTGTGCCTTGCTTGCTTGCGAAACTCTAGCTGCTAGCCCAGCCTAGGCTAGCTGAGAAATCGACCGACAGAAAAAAAAGATTTTCTGACACGCTTGAGTCAATGAAACGTTTTCGGAAAAATATACTGACAGTGACGTAGAAGATAATGAATCAATTCGCATCGTGAGAATTAATCAATTTCTTTTAAAAAGGAATTATTATTAGCTGATTATTTTAGAATATACATATATATAATTCCCTTTTACTCATGTGTTTATTATATATTATATATATGTTACATATATATATATATATATATATATATATATATATATATACAGGGTGGCCCCGAACGTTCCAGCCAGACTTTGAGATCTTATAGGAAATTTAATTCTGAACAAAAAATTTCCTATAAACATGGATCGAAAAATGCTTCCTTAAGAAATTATCGCTCAAAAACCTCTGATGAAGGAACAGCAAAAGGAAAAAAAATGAAATAAAAAGAAAATGAAATTAAATAAATTTCTTGAAAAAAAACGATAAAAATAAGAAAATAAAACTCTTTCTTTTATGAAAATAAAATAATTTTTTTTTAACTAATTTAGTAGTAGCACATAATAGAAAATGAATAAAGACGTTTTTTAAGAAATTTATTTAGTTTCATTTTCTTTTCACCTTTTGCACTTCCTTCATCAGAGGTTTTTAAGCGATAACTTCTTATGGAAGCATTTTTTGACCTATGTTTATAGGAAATTTTTTGTTCAGAATTAAATTTCCTATATCCTATCTTATAGGAAATTTATATATATATATATATATATATATATATATATATATATACCTTGTATATGAAACTCTTATAATAAAAGTATCTCAACGTTAATGTAAGTTGATAACGTTTCATGATTTCGTCAAGCGTTAATATTGTGGAGGTACAAGCGTTTAAAGCAATGGAGAAAATGGTATCGAAGATATTATAGAGCCGACCGATCATACGTTTCGCAATAACGATCTTTTCTTTTTCATCTTCCGGCTCTTCTTGTCGTCTATAAGTTAATGCAAATACTAAATGTCGATAACAAATAGTGAATGTATATATACGCAATATATGCGATAATAACATTAGATATTTTCATAAAATATTTTAGATGCTTGTATTATAACTCGGAATATTCATGCGCGATGTTTCGTTCATCTTGACATGAAGAAAAAAATAAATAAAGTGGAATATTTGACGAAATATTCGTGAGACAAGAAGCCGATGTATACTTCTTCGGCATAACTTTTTCGCTATTTTATTGCATTCAACAGAATTTTCTTATATACATGCACTTATTGAACAATCATAGCTTTATGCACGAGATCGATTTTTGGAGTAGCCTTCGAAAGAACAGTCAGATAAAGGCGTTAGTTAATTGCTGAAAGGAATTAAAGTATAAATTTTCATGCGAGAAAAATATTTCTTTCGACATTATATTATATTGACGAGGGAAAAGATATACGTACAAATTCTGTAACAGATTTGTAGTCTAGATTTCGTGCTTACATTGATACGCTCTGATTTTTCATCCTGATATATTTCTAGCCTTGTATTTTTCTCATGTACCTGATTAAAAAAAAAAAGAGAGAGATTGTCAGATATAAATATATCAGATATAAATATTTCTATGTGAGAAACGCGGAGAAAAAGCTGGCGCATCATTGCTGATAACGTAGATCGTGAGGAGCATTTTACATTCGCATTCTGTGAACATCACAAAAGTCAGAGTGTCATAAGCATTTATATTCGAACGTTTATTCTCTTTTCTTTGTCAGTTGTTCTGTATGAAAATGTGCTGCACATCATTGTGTTCCTAATAGAGGAATAACAATCAAACCTCCTTTTACCTCTGACATGCGCGACAGAGCATCTTGAACTTAAAAAAGAAATATATAATCTATATTAAAAGATATTTTATCACACTTATAAATCATGTATAATGTCATGTAATAATTAACGATGTCTTAATTATGATCGTCATTCGTAATACATTATGCGAGATTCGCACAGACTAATTGGAGGATTGAAACTCTCATATAAAACTTGTTAGTTGATAGTTTAAAAATATAATACGCAAAGTGCTTGTTTTTTTTAAATAATGTGCAGTTTAATTAAGAGATCAAGAACACGTTTTTTGCATGCGATGTGCACTATAAAAATATTCATATTTATTTTTGAACATTCGCATAGAGAGTGTGTCCGTCGAGTATATTGAAATAATGTAAAGGTTCTTTTTATTGCAATTTGATCCTTATTATGAATATCGATATTGTAAGTAATAATCTAAGATCTTATTTTTTGCTACGGAAAAAAAAAATAATTTTGAATGTTTTTCTCAAAATCTTATTTCCTTCAATGCTTTGACATTCACATAAAAAATACATAGACATTTATATATTCGGAAATTAAAATCGCTGGTATTAAATAAGGATAAATTGCAATACTGATAGCCTGATTTTTATAAAGCTGTCTAATATGTAATTCCATATTATGAATGTATAAATTTCAGAAAGACTAAAATCAACAAAAAGTAAAATGATATGAAAAAAAATGGAGCCTATAAGATATCAGTTTAGAATTTTGTGTAAAATTTATGGAAGTCGAGTCAAGATTAATGTGTTTATTCTGGAGTTGCGATAAAATAATGAATAAAGCGCGTGTTGTATGCTACGATAGTTTCGTATAAATTAATATAGTAATATCTACTTTAAACAAGATACTTGTTTTCGGTACTAAAGATACAAATAAGAGCTATATTGCAGAGTTATTTTTGAAAGATTACGTGAGGTGTTACAGTGATAAGATTAAAAAAAAAAGGACAAAACAACATAGATCCACGGTCCAAAACACATGATATTGCTTAATTTAAGTTCAAAGTTTAAGATTTTTAATAGGTATATTCATTTTTGTTTTGATGCAATTCAGAATTCATTAAATAGTTGTATCAAGATGTATTCAAATTTTATATACAGAGACTGATACCTGACCTAAAAGTGTACATATATTTGAGATGCGATTATCGATATACAGTTGTATTCCAATATATTATTATTAACTGTATGAGTATATATTGTACAATTACATATATTAAGAATATAGTACGATTGATTTTTGTTAAGAGTATTACATGTTTTTTGTAAAAAAGAGCTGTACACGCAGAACCAAAATAAAAATTTTATATTATTCATAAATTCCAGATAAAGTATGCAATGTTGGTGCAAATTGGTTTATTTTATCGATTCATTCCAACAACGATTATGAAAATAATTAAATGTAAATAGATTCTTTGTTCACATATTATAAAACGGACGAGTAAGTATAAAGTTAGACATTTTTTAAAATTCATTTCATATCTTTTGTATAAACATTTAGATTTCTACACATTTATTCGTAAAATAATATTAAACATATTCATTCTTTAAAAAATAGAATCGTGTCCATAAATACTATACTTCAGGAGACATACAGTACGTTTTATCCTTAATACGTCTATGAACTTGTGAATATTTTTACATTTGCATTTTTGTAAATGTTTTGTAATTTGCAACAATGTGAATTTTATTCTTTCATATTCACATTTTGATACATCAGATTGCTTATATGTTACAAAAGAATACTTATCTCAATAACAGATTTGTACTCTATTTATATACAGATAACTTTTAATGAAGAATATCAGCTAATATCAAGGAGAATGTAAATAAAAAAAAAATTTTTCATGACAATTATTGGCAATAATTCTCTATTAAATTTCCTTTAGCTATCTCCTTTAGTTATCCATATAATACAATTTATACATTCTTTTCAGCGTTTTATACTTATCATGAACAGTGTACACACATACATAGTCGATTTTTAGCTGATGATAAGATATACGTGTATCTTTAATAGCAATTTCAGAGATGCCAGATTATCTACAAGAACAGCTCAACAATTTTCTTGCTATTTCTCTCTATCTTTCTCGGGTTGAATGTGGCAAACGTATAGCGCTATCTATCTCTCCTAAAATCTTCCCCATAAAATGTAAATCTGCTCGTGATGGAATAAACGTGCGCGTCCTCTAATAAAGGGACCGAACATTACATTTACATTCCTAATTCATCCACGTCGGATGATTCGGCAGACAAAGGGGATTAGGAGAGTAAAGCAAGTCCTATTGAGGCGGACCGCCCATCATACTCATCGGTGGCATACTCTGGATTCCGTATGGTCCCTGCGGTGGTCCTTGGCCGCCAGCCATAGGCGAGTGCATTTGCATCGCTGCGTTTTGAATCTGCTGTGTAGAAGGTACCTGATTTCCCGCAGGAGATGCCACAACCTATTACAGATTTTAAAGTAAACTTTGTATTTTTCCATTAAAGTTTTCATAAAAATAATTCGTGCTTTGTTAATAATATTTTGTTTTCGGTATTTTATATTATTGGAAAAACTAATAAAAAATTAAATATATACGGTGGGCCATATTAATCGATGCACTCGAATATCTCGAAAACAGCACTCTTCAGAAAGAAATGTTTCAAACAAAAATTGTAGGGTGTCATAAGGGGGACATAAGATGGTGTTATTGGTTTGACCTTGGATAATCGTTTGAAGATCACGTGAAGATCACTTTTAATTTCTTAAATGGAAACCCCCATTTTTCAATGCATATTCTTGTAGCTTATCTCGAGAGCTTTCCAAAACACTACAGACAAATGTTTTTTCATTAAGTACTTTTTGAGTTATAAGGCTTCAAAGTTTGCAGTACTTCGATATAAAATGCAAAATATCTCGTAAAATATTTAGTTTTCGGTAGTCTTACCCTAATACTTTTATGCACAGGATAATGAGACAAAACTATTGGTGCAAAGAAAACGCATGATTGTTTATAATAAAAAATGTGTAATTTGCAATGCACTTTTTGTTATAAACAATCATACGTTTTCTTTGCACCAATAGTTTTGTTTCATTATCCTGTGCATAAAAGTATAAGGGTAAGACTACCGAAAACTAAATATTTTACGAGATATTTTGCATTTTATATCAAAGTACTGCAAACTTTGAAGCCTTATAACTCAAAAAGTACTTAATGAAAAAACATTTGTCTGTAGTGTTTTGGAAAGCTCTCGAGATAAGCTACAAGAATATGTAATGAAACATAGTGGGTTCAATTTAAGAAATTGAAGGTGACTTTTATGTGACCTTCAAATGACTTTCCAAGGTCAAACCAATGCTACCATCTTATGTCCCCCTTCACACCCTACAATTTTTGTTTGAAACATTTCTTTCTGAAGAGTGCTGTTTTCGAGATATTCGAGTGCATCGATTAAAATGGCCCACCGTGTATATACTATTGCTTAATGTATTGCGTAAATTACGACAATATAATGGTAATTTTTGTTCATATACAGGGTGGGCCATTTTAATCCGTCCACGGGAATATCTCCTCAGGTAGGCGATAGCGGAAAATGCCTCAGACAAAAGTTGTATGGCTTGAAGAGGGCCATAATATGGTGTCATTGGTTTGATTCCTTTCATTATTTTGTACATAAAAGTATTAAGATAAGATAATCAAAAAATGAATATTTTACAAAATATTTTATGGTTTATGTAAAATTAAGAAATAATTTCAAGCCTCATAATTCGGAAAGTACTTAATGAAAATTAACTTAATTATAGTGTTTTGGAAAGCTCTCGAGATGAGCTACAAGAATATGTAATAAAAAATAGGCAGTTCCATTTAAAAAATTGAAGGTGACCTTCCCGTGACCTTCAAATAACTAGTCAAGATCAAATTAATGACACCATCTTAATGTCCCCCTTCAAGCCATACATCTTTTGTCTGAGGCATTTTCCGCTATCGCCCCTATCTGAGAAGATATTCCAGTGGACGGATTAAAATGGCCCACCCTGTATATGTATATATATACACAATGCAGAAAAAAGATTTATGTAGTTTCTCATGCTCTAATAGAATTGCAGTGACAGATCATGAATTTTAAGATTTATTTCTTCTGCTTAGCAAAGAATTATACCTGTGATATAACCGGCGGTTCCGATGGTAATGTGAAATTAGCTAAAAGATCCCTTACAGAAGGAAATAACGAACATTCCGATTGATTTGCCCCGTAGTCGGCGAATCTCTTTAACTGCATAGACGCTGCCGTAATCGCTGGACTAATATTAAGATCTCTTCTTTCCGCCAATTGCGTTACATTTGTCGTGACATCATATACAAATGGTAGTACGAAGGACGTTTCTCCCGGATATGACATACCTATTCTCGTAAGTTGTAACTGCGAAATCATGTAAGTTGCATATGCAAAATCATGTAACAATCAATTGAATTTAATGAAATTCTAAGTGCTTCACAAATCGTACTTACAAAGAATAAAATTTTGCTTCTGCAAACATGCACTCCCTCTGATCCCGGGGGCACAATCTGTCCGGTAGAAGGTGGAATACGCAAGCACAATTGCACGGACCATTTCAGTTGCTGTTGCTGCACAAGACCGGGGACTAACTCTAGCTTCATTATTTGCACAAAGTCTTTCAGCACCTTGAAACGTATATTGAGCATTCTGCCGAAACCAGATAGTGTGTTGTGTTTATAAGGCGGAGCAGCGACTCGTGTATCAAAGAATTTTTCTATAATCTATGAATAAGAAGAATTATTGCAATTAATACACGTTGCGTATTTAATACATGCGACATATGTGTTTTAATTACTTACTTGTAACTCTTCCAGAGTCCACTGATCTTTGTACTCTGGAAGTGGTTGCACTTTGATGTGAAGAGATTGGAAATATTGCGGATTTAATCCAACTCTACATTGTAAGCTTTCGACTTTAAAATGTACTACGCCAGGTTCGGTACTATTGATACCAGTCACCTGTAATTTATACATATACAGGGTTTTCAAAAAGTCCCGAAACGCTAAAATATCTAAAACGATCAACTATAATGAAAAATATGTAAGGAACAAAGTTGTAGGACTAAATAAAATGTACCTAATGATGATAAGAATTTGATCTTGGATGAAGTATTCAAAGTCCTATGAAGGTCAAGTTGATTTTTTTAAATGAAACTCCTCATTTTTATTGCATATTCTTGTAGCTTATCTCGAAAGCTTTCCAAAACGCTACAATTAAGTTAGTTTTCATTAAGTACTTTCCGAGTTATGAGGCTTGAAATCATTTTTTAATTTTATATAAACCGTAAAATATCTTATACAATATTCATTTTTCGATTATTTTACCTTAATACTTTTATGTACAAAATAATGAAAAGAATCAATTGGTGTATAGAAAACACATAGTTGTTTCGAAGAAAAAAATATGTAATTTGCAATTAACAATTAGTGTTTTGGAAAGCTCTTAAAATAAGCTATACGAATATGCAATAAAAATGGAGAGTTCCAAAAAAAATCAACTTGACTTTCATATGACCTTGAGTACTTCATCCAAGGTCAAATTCTTATCATCATTAGGTACATTTTATTTAGTCCTACAACTTTATTCCTTACATATTTTTTCCTTATAATTGATCGTTTTCGAGATATTTTAGCGTTTCGGGACTTTTTGAACACCCTGTATATACACAGGATGTTATCCAATAATCGCCTAAGTCTCTCGTGTGCAACTAGAACGAGTTAAACTGATTGTGAGTAGAAAAGTCCTCTATCGTTTTGCGATCTTCGCAATAATTAATGAGATATTAATTTAATTAAAAAGATCAGCCAATTCGCGTGAACAAAAGCGCGCGGCGAGAAAAGCCGTCTCACTTTAACTTGATATTAAGCGTGCGGTGAAGCAGCAAGTGGAGTACTCTCCAAAACATGGTGGCAGTCCGCGACGCTTCAGTGTTAAGTTTGGTGAATTGAATTTTCCTATTCAATTCTTCCCGCTCTACTTGCACATGAGAGACTTAGGCGATTAGATACCCTGTATATATATTACTTTACCATTCTGTGCGTGTGTATACACACACACACACACACACACCACACACACACAGTGTCCCATTTTAAAAGTTCCACCATCATAACTTTTTTAATTTTGATTGTAGAAAAAAATGTTTCAGACAAAAGTTATATGGCTTGAAGGGGAACATAAGATGGTGTCATTAGTTTGACATTGAAGAGTCACCTGAAGGTCACGTGAAGGTCACATCCAACTTTTTAAATGGGATACCCTATATGCTTTTGCATGTTCTTATAGTTCATCTCTAGAGCTTTCCAAAACACTATAATTAAGTTAGTTTTCATTAAGTACTTTCCGAGTTATGAGGCTTGAAATCATTTCTTAATTTTACATAAACCATAATATATTTAGTAAAATATTCATTTTTCGATTATCTTGCCTTAATACTTTTATGTACAAAATAATGAGAGAAATCAATTGGTGTAAAAAAAAACATAGTTGTTTCAAAGAAAAAAATATGTAATTGTTAATTGCAAATTACATATTTTTTCTTAAAAATAACTATGTGTTTTCTTTACACCAATTGATTCCTCTCATTATTTTGTACATAAAAGTATTAGAGCAAAATAATCGAAAAATGAATATTTTTACTAGATATATTATGGTTTATGTGAAATTAAGGAATGATTTCAAAGCTCATAACTCGGAAAGTACTTAATAAAAACTAACTTAATTATAGTGTTTTGGAAAGCTCTCGAGATGAACTATAAGAACATGCAAAAGCATATAGGGTATGCCATTTAAAAAGTTGGATGTGACCTTCACGTGACCTTCAAGTGACTCTTCAATGTCAAATTAATGACACCATCTCCCTTCAAGCCATATAACTTTTGTCTGAAACATTTTTTTCTACAATCAAAATTATAAAAGTTATGAGAGTGAAATTTTTAAAATGGGACACCCTGTATATATATATATATATATATATATATATATATATATATATATACATATATACTATATATATAGAATACTATATATATGTAATACATTTAGAAAAATACTATACTTTTTATATTTATTTTATGTATATATTTAAAATAAATATATGAATATTTACCACAAATTCGCCAAATATTATTCGCGGCCAATATTCTGTAACAATTTATGTATTATGTTACAATTTATGTATACAAGTTCACTTACACAATCGTCTGTCTGAATAAAGCGTTGCAATTGTCTCCTCATGTAGACACAACCCAGAAATCTCTCAAGCGGTGACATATCCGGACCGGGTAAGCCGGATGGATGCGGTGAGGCGCAACAAAGCGATTCTAGCGCTTCGTGCGTGAGAAGCGTCGGTACGGCGCCAGCCCAAGATCTCGGCGGTAATACTCGGGACATGTGACTACCGGTCTTGTGATCAGAGGCTTGCGGGCTATGCAGTGCCACATGACCCGGACTTTGCCCAGGTCTCGCAGGAGATGGTCTTGGTACACTCGGCGATCCAGGCCAATTGGAAGCAGCCGGTGAGGCCATACTTTGAGAAGATGGAAAAGGACTACCATCGATATGACCTGAATATCGATGTTTCATTGTTATTAAAAGGCTTTTGTAAGGATTAATTCGTATTAAAAGTGTTGGCAAATATTACTACCATTGTGAAGTCTGATGTTTCATTTTTGTACAATTATAATTTTTGAAAGTGAGAATTTCATCATTTCTCGCTTTTTTTAAAGTAATGCAATGGAAATGCGCTTTCAGTTAAGATAAATATAAATAAAAACTGACAAAATATAATAGTTTTGAAAAGGACAAAAGAAATATCGAAGAATGAAAAATATATATCAAAACCTGTATATATCACATATATATCACACCTGTCTGCATGAATGAACCAGCAGGCGAATGTCCTACTTGAACATTACTACAAGGTCCAGGTGACGATGTTGGCATAAGACCAGCCGGACTAGGAACATGCATTGGATTTAGAGGACTGTTTGCAACGAGTCCCGAGCCAGGAGATGGATGTGGTAACATGTTAGGTGTATTCGGTGGTAACGATGGCGGGGATGCTAAATTAAACGATGTTGCGGGACTGCTTCCGAAACTTTGATGTTGACTGGCCTAAGAAAAAAAAATATTTTTGTAATCACAGTCGAATAATTTACATATTATATACAGGGTGTCTCATTTTAATTTTCCCAGGCAAATATTTCGGAAAATAATGAAAAATCGAAAAAATGTTTCGGACAAAAGTTGTATGGTTTCTAGGGGGACATAAGATGGCACCATTGGTTTGATCTTGAAGAGTTATTTGAAGGTCACATGAAGGTCACCTTCAATTTCTTAAATGGAACCTACATTTTCTCATTACATATTCTTGTAGCTTATCTCGAGAGCTTTCCAAAACACTATAATAAAATATTTTTTTATTGAGTATTTTTCGAGTTATGAGGCTTGAAATCATTTCTTAATTTAATATAAACCGTAATATATCTAGTAAAATATTCATTTTTCGATTATCTTGCCTTAATACTTTTATGTACAAAATAATGAGAGAAATCAATTGGTGTAAAAAAAACACATAGTTGTTTCAAAGAAAAAATATGTAATTGTTAATTGCAAATTACATATTTTTTCTTAGAAACAACTATGTGTTTTCTTTACACCAATTGATTCCTCTCATTATTTTGTACATAAAAATATTAAGATAAGATAATCGAAAAATAAATATTTTACAAGATATTTTACGGTTTATGTAAAATTAAGAAATAATTTCAAGCCTCATAACTTGGAAAGTACTTAATGAAAACTAACTTAATTATAGTGTTTTGGAAAGCTCTCGAGATGAACTACAAGAATGTGCAAAAATATATAGGGTGTTCCATTAAAAAAAATTGAATTGACCTTCACGTGACTTTCAAATGACTCTTCAAGGTCAAACCAATGGCACTATCTTATGTCCCTCTAGAAACCATACAACTTTTGTCTGAAACATTTTTTCGATTTTTCATTATTTTCCGAAATATTTGCCTGGGGAAATTAAAATGAGACACCCTGTATATATATTTATATTAGTCAGGCAATCTACCTGGGATATATTTGTAGTATGAGGACTGGCCGGTGTGTGAGGATTACTGCCGGATGGTGGTGTGAGTGGCGGATGAAATCTTAGACCTTCACGCTGTTGCGCGGGCGATTGCGGTCCGCTTCTGTGATGTCCTAAGAACCCTCCTACGTTGCTTCCACCACCATCGCTATCCATAGTGACGGGGGACGGTGGATTATCGTCCTCCGATTGAGATCTTCTTCTAAATACCGCGTTCTCATCGACATATTTCGACAAAAACGCCTACAATACGTGAATAGTATAGCTTAGTTATATCACTTCAAGTACTTTGCACTTTAAAAAAAGAAGAAAATTTCTTACCTTTAAGCCTTGCGTGGGTGTGAACTCGTCGACGACGTTACTTTTGTCAAAATGACTATAAGCACCGTCACGTAAACTCACCAAACCTCCGCCGCGCAAACGTAATTCCAAACAATACATGCCTTGATACGCTATCTTTACTAAAGTGACACATTGTGGCATTATAGTAAACGTTTGTACTGGCACTCGTGGTCTCTGTAGAGAGGAATTTATCCGTAAGTCTGAACCAAAAAAAGGCAGATATGCGCGTGCACTTACCGCATGCACGCATAACTGAGGGATTGTCGGTAATTTACTGATCGACGTAAGCGGCTGAAGCGTTTCATTAAGTATATGAATAATTTGTGCCAAATTCTTATGTCTATTTAAATGGGCTTCTAGCTGTTCCTTCATTATAGAATGCGCATTAGTCACTGTATTGGTTGGACCTATTAAGTTACAAATAAAATTTGTATTATTATACATTTCCAATAATAATAATAATGTGTTTTTAAACTAAAATCAAAAGACTTACTTCTACCAAATACTAGTTTGAAATTTGCTTTATCATTCCATTGTACAGTTACAATTGCAGCATGATTTGGACCATATGCAAGAACTAACTTGCTATAACTATAAGACTTAATGCTAACCATGTTGCGTAAATTGTACTTCTCTAGAGTGAAAAGCAACATTAAATTATACAAACGTAATTATATATGTGATATATAACAGCGTATAAGATTGGAACATATAACATATATATATATATATATATATATATATATATATATACATATACATATACATATACATATATATGTATATATATATATAACATACCCATTTTGAAATATTCAGCTAAATCATGAACAAGTGAATACAAATGCACTATTTGTGCCCAGTCATGTAATAAGGCATCTACAGTACGAGAGACGGTGTCGGCTGTTCCCATTTCATATTGAAAATAGACTGGTCTTCGTACACCTATAAAATTCGATAAGATTCGATAAGGAAAGAAAAATACATTTGCGTTCTACAATTTTTATTGTAACAAAAAAAGAAAATTATAATGTATTCTTTTATGAATCCATTTATACAAGAGATGAAATTTTACTTAGAAGTTAAAATAGAAATTAATTATATAATAAAATATTGTATATTTATGAGTTAAAAATATAAAATTTTAGATAAATTCCTTAAAAGTATAACAATAAAAAATTATAGCAATTAACGAAAAAGAATTATCTTTGAAATATGAATAAATATAAGAATATATAATTATGCTTTAAAAATTGAAAATACAAAGAAAAAAATATAGATCTATATAATAAATACTCCATTATTTCATGTAGTATCCAAAAATTCAATTTTAAATATAAAATAATGAAAGGTGTCAATAATTAATGTGGTATCTGATAAAGAAAATTTAATACCTTGTTCTTTGGAATGACTACTAGAGAGGGGACTACCAAAAAATACAAATTCCACCATCCAAGTTTTAGCCATGCCTTTGCCTTGAACTCTAATCGAAACACTTAGTAACCTTTTGAGAAGAGCGTGCCAAGCACTGCTTGTAGCGATAGTCGGCGATGGCGCAGGTAATTGTACAAGTTTAAGTACCAATGCTGTGGCATTTGCTTCGACCTGTAACCCTTGATGAGCTATCTCTCGTCTAGTAAGCTGCAAATTAACAATTAAATGAATAGAATCATGGAAAAATCTCAATTATCGTGCATTTCACAATTATTATGCACGTTCCATAGAAAGGAAATTTTTCTTCCTCTAATGAGAGACAATCTATGATATAAAAATGAACGGAAATTTAAAATCTTACTTCTTGAGCTAGAGTTACGAATGGTATCCGTTCGTCGCATAGAGCGACAACATGCGCCAATTCCGGAATGAAGTAAGCCGGATGTTTCGCTCTTCTATTCTGTGATGTTCCCACCGCGTCTGTCCTTCCTCCGATTCCAGTGCTTCTACGTTTGTTGCTCATCGTCGTCTCCACCACTTCTGTAATGCACCCCCCATCTTGATCATTATTCCCTAAAAAATCCACCCGTTAATCCCCCTAAAAGTAGCAGAAGTAGTACACCACACTCAATGTTGCCAGATGTTAATTATTATGTGTACACCATACTATATTAATAATCAAGCAATTAAATGTTAATGTAAGGATTAGTGAGAAAGTTCTTATAGCAAGTAGGATAAACTAATATATATATATAATTAGTCGGGCTGTCCCAAAAGTCTCGGATCGGTCGAATATTTCATAAACTATGCACTTTAGAAAGAAATGTTTCAGACAAAAGTTATATGGCTTGAAGGGGGCCATCAGATAGAGGCAATGATTTGACATGGGAGAGTCATTTGAAAGTCACGTGAAGATCACCGTCAATTTCTTAAATGGAACTCCCTATTTTTTATTAAATATTCTGGTCACGTCGAGAGCTTTCCAAAACATTATAATTAAGTTAGTTTTCATTAAGTACTTTCCGAATTATGAGCTTGAAATCATTTCTTAATTTTACACAAACCGTAAAATATCTTGTAAAATATTTATTTTTCGATTATTTTACTTTAATACTTTTATGTACAAAATAATGGGAGGAATCAATTGGTATAAAGAAAAAACATAGTTGTTTTTAAGAAAAAAATATGTAATTTGCAATTAACAATTACATATTTTTTTTTAAAACAACTGTGTTTTTTTACACCAATTGATTCCTCTCATTATTTTGTACATAAAAGTATTAAGGTAAGATAATCGAAAAATGAATATTTTACTAGATATTTTATGGTTTATGCAAAATTAAGAAATGATTTCAAGCCTCATAACTCCAAAAGTACTCAATGAAGAAATACTTTATTATAATGTTTTGGAAAGCTCTCGAGATAAGTTACACGAATATGTAATAAAAAATAGGGAGTTCCATTTAAGAAATTGAAGGTGACCTTTACGTCACCTTCAAATGACTCTCCAAGGTCAAATCATTGCCACTATCTGATGGTCCCCTTCAAGCCATACAACTTTTGTCTGAAACATTTCTTTCTAGTGCATAGTTTATGAAATATTCGACCAGTCCGAGACTTTTGGACACCTTGTATATATATCATACTTAATACAAAAGAATGTATAATTGCATGTACATATAATTACATTAGCTCGACAACAAATGAAGACAATTGATTTATAGATTTTATCAGACCTGTTCAAGCTTTAACTCGCGATGCTTTTGCTTTTTCTTCAATCTTGCCAAATCGGAAAAGAAATAAAAAACCAGTTAACATGCCATTTATATAGATATAATTCTAGGGATCCTTAATGAAACACGTACTATGCTTGGAATTGATTAAGTTACTTCATTAAGAATGATTATAGCAATATGATTGTTTGCAAATGGAAATAATAAGCTTATTGTTAGTGATAAATTTGAATAGGTCTGATTTGTGTATAATAATATTGTATAATAATAAATATATATACATACTTATATGTCATATAACACTAGTAGATAGAATAAATCAGGAGTTGAAAAAGTTGAATTGTAATAAAAAAAGAGAAAAGAAAAAACGTTATTATATACAAGATTTTAATAAACTGCATACTACAATTAAAACTATATGCTACTAATATATATACTTTTTATTTTTACCTGTATACTTGTATATCTATATTAATAATGTATATAATAATAAAAAACTAAGCTCAAATACACATGCATATCTATATACATTTTATTTATCCATTAATGATAAATAACAATATTATTGTATCCACAATATCATAACATTGAATAATAATAATAATATCAATAATGTTATAATATTGTTGATAATAGTGAATTTATTTAAATATGTAAATTTTGAAGATAGAAAATTAAAGTTGAGAGAAACATAAATAAAAAAGAAATATATATAGAAAAAAATTACGCATTAAAGCATATACCAATACTCACCACTGTCGACACTTGTAAACGGCCCGTGTGTAATGACAAAAGTATCAAACTCAATAAGACTCTGAACTTTTAGATACATTTTTGGTATTTCTGTTTCTATACTATCATCGTGCGGATCATCTTCAATGGAACTATGCTTCACTACAGCGAGATAGAAGGAACACTCTATTTCACATGGTGAATTTTCTTTTTCTTTGAACGCAACAATCTAGAGTAAGCAATATCACAAAATATATGTAAACAATTATTATTGTATAAACAATTGTGTAATACTAATGTAATATATTTCTCAATGAATATATCTTTCAATGAGATGATTATTATTATAATCCTTGAAATCATGAATTTACATACCAGTATAACATTAGGATATTTAGTTTTGTTTTTCTTTTAGGAGAACTATTTTTTTAGGGAAAATTTCTGTAAATTATTTTTAGGGATATTTTTATGAAATATATTAAATATAAATTTTTTGCATACAAGGTGTAATATTTTTTATGTACTTGGCGTACTTTTTTTACCTTTATAAGGTTTTTTTTAGAGGGATTATTATAATCCTTGAAATCATGAATTTACATACCAGTATAACATTAGGATGTCTATGCAATTGCACAAACATGCGGTGTCTACTAATCTTAGACATAGGGTGATCTGGATGATGTAAGACAGGCAAACGTTCATGAGGAGTAGCGGCTAAATGCTGCAATGTTTTCTCGCAACGTCTTTGTGTTATCCAAAATCTGGCATAAAATAATTTATCAATAATTCTATTTTAAATGAAAGGAAAGTTTACAAGCAGTATTACAGTAATATTTGTACCTCAATTCAGATATAAGTGTCGGAAGACGCGAATGATCCCCATTCAAAGCTGCTGTTAATTCTGGTACAAGAGGCGCATCATATTGAGGGATATGACATTGTAACATACCAGTATGAGTATCAACTGTAACTAATAGAAGCTCAGCACGTAAACACGGTTGTAATATCGGTACTGACAAAATAGCTGGAGATCCTGCTAAAGTACCTAAGAAATATACGTGCATTATACAGGGTGTCCCAAAACTCATAATCAATCTATCAAAGACAGATTCCTGGGATCGTTTGGAGACGATTTTTCCTCAGCGAAAATGTCGATGAAAGTCATTATTTTTTGCATGTTCCCAATTTTTGTCATCATATATCTTTGCAATTAAGCATTAAATTGAAACTCAACTAAAGTAAACTCTATTTAAAATTAATCGAAGAATGTGGTTTTGTTAATATTTTATTTCTACAAAGCTTAATTTACGAAAAACCCCTTATTTTCAATCACTTATAATTTGAAAATTATTAGTGCCTCGACATTTTCGTTGAGGAAAAATCGTCTTCGGATGATCCCAGGAATCTGTCTTTGGAAGATTGATTATAAGTTTTGGGACACCCTGTATAAATATTTTATTTTATTTGAACTTATAAAAAGTAAAAGGATGCAGAAAAAATTCTTAACTTACATTCGACGTCCTTCAGCATTGTTTGTAATTCTTGTTTCAATTCGGAGAGACGACTTCGCGTCCGAATATAAATTGTATGCACAAGTAAACATTCCATTGATAACTGATCAGATCTAATGGCTCTATGTGCTATTTCACTTTCCTGTGTAATATTACCATAATATATTATTATAAACGTAGAATTTTGAAAAATATAAATGTATTCCTTTTTTTACCTTACTACCTAATGACGGAATGTGTACAACTGCAAGAGGCCTCGCAGGATCATGCTGATCTACTTGAATGGTCAATTTGTACCCAAGTTCTGATCGTGGATCTTTATTCGTTAATTCCCTAAAAAGATTTCATACGCGAGGTAAAAATGTATCTGTATATACAATTCTTTTTGCAACATTATTTTTTTCTAAACATAAGTATATCATACAATTATTATTACCTCCAATAAGATACAGAGAGACATTTGCCAGGTACATATTCATCCACATGAATATGATCATCTAATCTATCCTGAATTAGCCTTAATGTTTGAGAAAATAAAACTTCTAACTGTAATGACTGGCAAAAATAATGCAAGATATAATACACTTCTGATAATGGATTGGTACTTTCAGCCAATCGTGATTGAATAACCTGTTATAGAAAGAAATTCTATTTGTTAAATGCATCTGAGAATACAGTTTATCTTAACTTTTTCTAACTTTATTTTATGATATACCTGATGTACATATCGAGTTTGCAAGGGATGCACTAATGCTTTTCCATCACCAGTTTCCCTATCTGAAACCAAAATCTCCAATTCTAACAATCTCCATGGAACTGTTGGTCCATCACTCATAACTGTAAGAGATACTGAAAACTCTTGCTCTACAAGAAATGTCACTCTTCCTGCTTCAATCTATATAAATAATAAATCGAATTTAATCATATTGGATATGTAAACAACAAATCATATATGTAATTTTTTTTCTTCCATAGAGTAATGCATATCACAGCAATTTTTAATAGAATTTACTTATATTTTTATTGTTATTTGTACATATCTACCTTCAAGTTACGCATCTGTGGCAATAAATTTCCAGTGACTAATCTATGTTGAATAACTTGATTCAATCTTTGCAGTGTGCTTCTCTTTTCTGCAGCTGTTATAGGATCTGGAGGCACTATTCTTTCCTGTATAAATATTATAAATATGATATTTTTATGAATACTTACCATAAACTTATATAATTAACACTTCTTTGCATGCAGGCTTTCTATACTTACTCTAATACAGGCTGGTAATCTACCATAAGTGCCAGTAGTAAGTACTTCTACAGCTGCAGGGATATGAAAATTTGGAAGTCTAGCATGCACCAAAGTTTCACGAGCCATTCTTGCCAACATATCCGCAGTATCAACAAAGAGCAATGATTGTTTATCTAAAAATGCCATAATATGCTAAAACAAAAAAAAGGTGTAAGTTAGTAGGGTTTAATTATATAGGTAGATTTTAATTATATAACGTAATCATATTTATTCATATATAATTAAGTTATATATGATTATCATGTAAACATAATTTTATATAATTATATAACAATAATTTAATTATATAAAAGAATATATATATATATATATTAGGGTTGCCAGATCTCTAATGAGAAATAATAGGAGATTCAAAATGAAAATATAGGAGAATATAGGAGAAATATTTACAACAAATTCGGATAGATATTTAAAATTTATTAGTTACAAAATAATGCGGTTTATTAACGAACGTTAAAATATATGAACGAAAATAAATATAAATTCTGCTTATTAAAAAAACGTAACTTAACTTTATTGCACAATGAAAAAGATATAACTCTTTGATTAATTAATATACTTATCATTTTTTTGTGCTTTTTTTAAAAGGAGATGATCGTTCTTTATTATATCGTAAAACTGCTACATATAGTTATAACAATATATATCCCTATATGCAGCAATTCACGTGGGAAGGCATTTCTCTCCCCTTCTATACACGGTCACGGCCCGTTACGGAACTCACGGACCAGAATTTTTTATGCAATAAGGCAAATATAGAATATAAGAGATATATAGGAGATATAGGTCGAAATATAGGAGATTTTCTCCTATATTCAAACCTTCATAGGAGATAGGAGATTTGTTCTAAATATAGGAGACTCCTATTAAATATAGGAGATCTGGCAACCCTAATATATATATAAAATATATATCTTACTGTAGACTTATCCACTTTAGATGCACTGTTCGCCCACTTTACTAATGCCAATAAACGAACATATAATTGTCTCGTTCGAGCAGAAAAATTATAAATTTCAATTTTGCGTTCCATATCTGTTTTACGAGGCAATCTAAATATATAAAGAATGTACAAAATCCATAACAAATTGTATTATAAAATGTTAATGTATACCTGTTAATATCTTGATATTTTGTACTTACAGTTCAGCAAGAACAGTGAGTTCATGATATGTTCGTTGTATTATAAAATCTATGAGCATGCCTAAGGAGATAGATCCCCCACGATTACCCTCTTGCGGTATATTATTCGTGACAGGAGTCTGATGATCTTCTAAAGGTACTGGCGCCATTTTGATGTTGTCTTCGATAAAAAATACTATATTAATCTAATATGTATGTACAGGTGGATAAAAAAAAAATCATATATAAAATCTCTTCTCCAGTATGTATCACAAGATGTATATTATATATATGTATATATTCTAGTTACATATACTTTATATTAATTATATATTTTTAAGAATTATTTATTACTTTTTATTGCAAAATGCTTATAAAAAATATTATTTCAAAGATAATAAAGAAAATGCATAGAGTTTAACATATTGATAACATATATGTAATATATTTAGTTTTTTAATAATAAAAGCTATATCCGACACTCAAACGAATTCTTTCATAGAAATAATTGCGAATCTATGTAATGTTTATTAAAATATATAAATTTATATTGTTTGAAAATTAACATAATTGTGTGGACGAAGTCTAGAAAAAAATTGCTTTTGTGAATTTAAATAATACATCAATAATAATTCTACATAAATATAACATTTAGAATCATTTTATAAATGCTTGCTGTAATATGCAGTAATGTCGTTTTCATTTGAAACTGTATGTAAAATTATTGTACCAACCACATACAATTAGTATTATAATTATTTTGGTCTCTCTCTCTCTCTCTCTCCTAGATTAGTATCTAACTTTTATATTTATTCTTTTAATGACGCCGCGATGATCAACATAATTGAAAAGAACACATTGCGACAATTCTATTATTTTGTTAATTTACAGAATGGACGAATACGTTTTATTTTCCGTCGTGATTTTATAACTCGACCACATAATTACAATATATATGACAACAATAGTTTTCAGCATATTTGGTCGTAATAATTAAGTTAAAAAACTGATACACATTCAGAGTTGTAAAATTTCACCTTTCACTTACTACGAAATGCTACGAAATCATTGAATAAAAAATATCATTAAGGGGCAGTGGAAACCATCGACGTATACACTGGACTGAGCATCGCGATAGACAGGTGAGCGTCCGCTGTAGAGAGGGTGCTTTCCATTTAGCGACACAAGCGTCATTCTATTTTTTTTCAATGAATACAATAAACAAAGATAGAATGACATTTGTGTCGCTAAATGGAAAGCACCAGAGAGAGGTACTAGAGAGCCTACAATCAGAGCTGCGTCCAGAAATATCACCAGAGTGTACACTGCGCGGCAACGATTCGTTCCGTGGTCCCTCTCGCGAGGCAAGGGGAGCGTAGCCTCTAACCGATTGGTTAGAGGCTGATTAGCCATTGCCACGCTGCCAGCTGATTGGTCACTTCTACGCTCCCCTTGCCCCACGAGAGAGTGGCCAAAGAACGAATCGTTGTCGCGCAGTGTACATACTTGGGTATTATTTTATCCTTGTTTAACATTCAGTGAACAACAAAGATAAAATGATACCTGGGAGCACCTCGGGTGATGTTTTTGAACACAGCCCAGAGTGGCAACTAGGTGCCACTTCTGACTGGTCGGCCATTTTTCATCCGTTGCCGCCAGGTTTTCAAACTTATCTAAATTTTATGTACCTATCAACACAATAATTAATTAAACAATATATTATAACATTGTAAATATTCATAACAAATAATTTTACCTCGCATAAACATGAATTTTTAGCTGGTATCCAGTTTGCGTATTTATTATTTATATTACTAATCCATTGATTTCGATGTTGTACTCTTGGTAATATTTTCATACTATATCCCTTGTATGAGGAATTAGTACAAAAAGGAATTGTATGTACAGCCAACCATTTTATAATAATTTTGACTATTAATATAAGTATGAAAGAGAAAATGCTGTCAATTTTCGCTTACCCTCACCACTAACGAGATACTGTTAAAGACCGACAGCCCTGTGTAAATTTTCGTAACTACCAAGTGGGCCTGGTGGGCCCGGAGATAATAGAAGATTGATGATATTATCGGCCGTTTTGATTACATTGAAGACAATTACAAGAGTTATTTAAATCATACGAGTATGTTAGGTCATTCTGTTATTGTTTCATTATCGAAAATGTATAAATCTTTTATATATCTGTTTTAAAAATGACAAATTATGTATAAAATCGTTATTTTATTATTGACAATGTAAAGATTTTGTTACCTAGAGCAGCATTTTACACGTTTTTTTCTGGTTACGCTAAGTCCCATAAAGGTGCAATTTCATTGACGCTAAAGGTGCGGCCTCATTGACGCTAAAAAGTAGCGTCAACCATTGGTTGAACAAAGAGATAAGTATACTTACCTCTTTGTTCAACCAATGGTTGACGCTACTTTTTAGCGTCAATGAGGCCGCACCTTAAAAAGTAGCGTCAACCATTGGTTGAACAAAGAAGCAACTACTTAATTCTTTGTTCAACCAATGGTTGACGCTAATTTTTAGCGTCAATGAAATTGCACCTTAAGACCATCGGTCTTTAATAGTATAGGCCGCAGCACACACTTTTGCATAAACGCATAACCATAAGCATAAGAAAATTGATTGGTTTATTTTCTTTCAATTTCCTTATGCTTATGATTATGCGCTTATGCAAAAGTGTGTGCTGCGGCTTTATCTCGTCGGTGACCTCACTGACATAGGCCGGTATTTATAGTCCGATCTTATATTTAAGATCGTCTTAAGTCTGCTTGGAGGTTGACTTAAAATAGCTCATTCAACCAATCAAATAGCTGCGTAGCATTTCAAGCTCGAACTTAAGACGATCTCAAATATAAGATCGGACTATGAATACCGGCCCTAGACACCGACAGATAGAGTTACAGACAAAGGCCGGTATTCATAGTCGGATCTTATATTTGAGATCGTCTTAAGTTCGAGCTTGAAATGCTACGCAGCTATTTGATTGGTTGAATGAAGTCTTAAGTCAACCTCGAAGCAGACTTAAGACGATCTTAAATATAAGATCGGACTATGAATACGTAGCAGCTATTTCAAGCTCGAACTTAAAACGATCTCAAATATAAGATCAGACTATGAATACCGGCCTAAGTATAGACCGAGCATCCATTGTATAAGCGTTAGGCTGATGGCAGAGAACTAGACGTGAGCGCTTACGTCTGTCGTAGTCGTGGACGTAAAGTAAGACAGAGAAAAACGTATGTCGTACAAGGCCATTGTGATAATGAGAAAAATCAATTGGTGTAAAGAAAACTCATAGTTGTTTCGAAAAAAAAAATGTAATTTGCAATTACCAATTACATATTTTTTCTTAAAAATAACTATGTCTTTTCTTTACACCAATTGATTCCTCTCATTATTTTGTACATAAAAGTATTAAGGTAAAATAATCGAAAAATGAATATTTTACAAGATATTTTACGGTTTATGTAAAATTAAAAAATGATTTCAAGCCTCATAACTTGGAAAGTACTTAATGAAAACTAACTTAATTATAGTGTTTTGGAAAGCTCTTGAGATGAGCTACAAGAATATGCAAAAGCATATAGGGTGTCCCATTTAAAAAGTTGGAGCTGACCTTCGCGTGTCCTTCAGGTGGCTCTTCAAGATCAAACTAATAACACCATCTTATGTCCCCCTTGAAACCATACAACTTTTGTCTAAAACTTTTTTCAAAATAATCGACTCCAATCGAGATATTATCTTGTCTCAAGATAAATGCCCCACCCTGTATATATATATATATATATATATATATATATATATATATATAACGAATTAAGTGGAGCACTTTATATTATTCTAGTATATTAATAAAAGATAAATAAACGTACAATCGTACAAACGTAAATAAAGATAACGTACAATCTTATTTGTCCATTTATTATGTACAAAATTACTATTTTTTCAACACGCTTATAAAAGTGTCCCGTGGTAAAGAAATTTTTCCAATCATTCTCATTTTCTTTTTTCCTTCAGCTTGCTGTGCTAACAATTTTTTTCTCCTAGTAACATCACCTCCGTACTTAAAAAAGGAAAAAGAAAAATTAATAACGCTACTTTCAAGAGTTAATAAAGTTTATTACTTATATATATATTTACTTACTAATTTTGCTGTTACATCCTTTTTGTATGGTTTTAGAGTTTCTCTTGCAATTACTTTATTCTTTATCGCTGCTTGAATCGCTATTTCGAAAAGCTGTCGAGGAATGGTTTCGAGAAGCTTAGCGCACAATTTCTTACCCGTTTTATACGCTTTTGTTTCATGTACAATTGTACTTAATTCTTCTACTAGTTTCCCATTCAAGAGAATATCCAACTAAAATTTATATATCAAGAAGAAATAATTTATTAAGAAAGCCAAAGTTACACATGCAAGATTAAAGTTGTAATAAAAGTTAATAACCTTCACTATATCTGATAATTGATAATCATAATCTTCATAATCAAAACTAGCATAACCAGAACTTATGCTCTTTAAGGAATCATGAAAGTCAAGGATTACTTCATTCAATGGCATTATATATTGCAACATAAGTCTGTCATTACCAATAGTCTTGTTCAGTTTTTCCACACCTCGCTTTTCTCGACAAAGTAACGTAATATCCTTCATATATTCAACTATACATGTTACAAAACATTGATTATTCTATAGATAACAATGAAAATTAAAATTAAAAATATTATCTTGAAGTCTTTAATTAAATATAAAAACTGAGTATTTATAATTTCTCTCTTTTGTGAATCTGAGTAGAAATGATAACTTTAAAATGAATTAAATAACAAATACATACCTGGTGTTATAATAGTTGCTATAATCATAGGTTCGTAAAATTCGTTAACAATTTGTACGTCTGGAAAATACGCTGGATTATTAAAAGTTATAGTATCTCCTTGATATTTTGTTATATTTCTACTGCCAAAAATCTTTGCCTTGTATGTAACTGCGGGTGCTGTAACTATCGGTTGCGCTCCATATTCCTGCTCAAGACGTTGAATAAATACTTCCATATGTAATAAGCCTAAAAAGCCAATTCGCCAGCCCCTTCCAAGTGCAACACTACAATATGTAATTTTTTGTGTCATTGATAAAATTTTCTAATCAATCAAGTCAATCTCCAATCGGACATTATATACAAGATATGGTATATGGTATAAAGAAAACACAGTTGTTTTGAAGAAAAAATATGTAATTTGCAATTAACAATTCCATATTTTTTCTTAAAAACAACTGTATGTTTTCTTTACACCAATTGATTCCTCTTATTATTTTGTACATAAAAGTATTAAGGTAAGATAATCGAAAAATGAATATTTTACAAGATATTTTACGGTTTATGTAAAATTAAGAAATGATTTCAAGCTTCATAACTCGAAAAGTACTTGATGAAAAAATACTTTATTATAGTGTTTTGGAAAGCTCTCGAGATAAACTATAATAATATGTAATGAAAAATAGTAGATTCCGTTTAAGAAATTGAAGATAACCTTCATGTGACCTTCAAATGATTATCCAAGGTCAAATTTTTGCCACGATCTTATGGCCCTCTTGTAGCCACACAACTTTTGTTTGAAACATTTTTCGATTTAACTCAGTGTTTCTGAGATATTTGAGTGGGTCCTTTAGAATGGGACACCCTGTATGTGTATATATATATATATATATATATATATATATATATATATATATATATATATATATATGATATACGAAAAAAATAAACTTAATATATGCTATCAAAAAGAATGTAATCTTGTACCTTGATTCTAGAGTGACAGTCACAGCGCTATCATTTAATGTAAGTTTATCAATAGCTGTTTGTAAAGAGACAAATTGTGATTGATCCATTGGATATACACCTGCAAATACCATCGGCTTTGGTGGCTTAAATCTTTCTAAGGGATCAACATACTGATTCCGTAGATGCAAAGTGTCGCCAATGTGAGTCTCTTTAGATTTCATATTACATGAAATGGCACCTACTTGTCCAGCAAATCTAGATACATTTGCATATAAATTTATATACCCCGCATATAAATTATGTATGTAAAATATTATATATAGCGTGACCCACGGAAAGTGTTACAAATTTATATCTTGGAAACGAAGCAATTTAGATCACCTCCAACTTTTTAAATGGGATACCCTATATGCGTTTAAATGGGATACCCTATATTCTTGTAGCTCATCTCGAGAACTTTCCAAAATACTATAATTAAGTTAGTTTTCATTAAATACTTTCCGAGTTATGAGACTTGAAATAATTTCTTAATATTACGTAAACCGTAAAATATCTTGTAAAATATTCATTTTTCGATTATCTTACCTTAATACTTTTATGTACAAAATAATGAGAGGAATCAAATAGTATAAAGAAAACACATAATTGTTCCGAAAGAAAAAATGTAATTTAAAAAATGTAATTAAGAAATGATTTCAAGCCTCATAACTAGGAAAGTACTAATGAAACCTAACTTAATTATAATATTTTGACAAATTCTCGAGATGAGTTACAAAAATATGCAAAAGCATATAGGGCATCTCATTTGAAAAGTTGGACGTGACTTTCACGTGACCTTTAGGTGACTCTTCAAGGTCAAACTAATGGCACCATCTTATGTCCCCCTTGAAACCATGTAACTTTTGTCTGAACCATACAATTTTCGTCATTTTTCTCTAAATTGCTTCGTTTCCGAGATATAAATTTATAACACTTTACGCAGGCTACATATATAGGGTGTCCCATTTTAACTTGGAAAGTAAAATATCTCAAAAACTAAGTCCAGCAAACAAAAATGTTTCAGGCAAAAGTTGTATGGTTTCGAGGGAGACATAAGATGGTACCATTGGTTTGGCCTTGAAGAGTTATTTGAAGGTCACATGAAGGTCACCTTCAATTTCTTAATGGAACCTACATTTTCTCATTACATATTCTTGTAGTTTATCTCGAGAGTTTTCCAAAACACTATAATTAAATGTTTTTCCATTAAGTATTTTTCGAGTTATAAGGCTTGAAATAATATCTTAATTTTACATAAACCATAAAATATCTAGTAAAATATTCATTTTTCGATTATCTTACCTTAATACTTTTATGTACAAAATAGGTTAGGTTAGGTTCGGAAAATAATGGGGAATCAATTGGTGTAAAGAAGAAACATAGTTGTTTCGAAGAAAAAATATGTAATTGTTAATTGCAAATTACATATTTCTTCTTAAAAACAACTGTATGTTTTCTTTACACCAATTGATTCCTCTCATTATTTTGTACATAAAAGTATTAAGGTAAGATAATCGAAAAATGAATATTTTACTAAATATTTTATGATTTATGTAAAATTAAGATATTATTTCAAGCCTTATAACTCGAAAAGTACTTAATGGAAAATCATTTAATTATGATGTTTTGGAAAGCTCTCGAGATAAGCTACAAGAATATGTAATGAGAAAATGTAGGTTCCATTTAAAAAATTGAAGGTGACCTTCATGTGACCTTCAAATAACTCGTCAAGGTCAAACCAATGGTACCATCTTATGTCCCCCTCGAAACCATACAACTTTTGTCTGAAATATTTTTGTTTGCTGGACTGTTTTTGAGATATTTTACTGTCCATGTTAAAATGGGACACCCTGTGTGTGTGTGTGTGTGTGTATATATATATATATATATATATATATATATATATATATACATAAAAAATTGAAAAAAAAAAAATATATATATATATATATATATATATAAAAAATTGAAAAACAAAAAAATATATATATATATATACATATATATATATATTTTTTTTCAATTTTACAAAGCTATAATGGCTTAAAAAAAAAAAAAGTACTCACATCGTCTTTACATTCTCTGCATGAGGTCTAAGAAGGAAAATATTTCGAATTTCATACGATTTTTGCATATGTGAGGAAGTGATGTGTTTGCCAACAGACAGTGTTCCATCTTTCACATAAATTAAAGAAATAGCACCTTTATGTTTGTCGTACCAACTGTCAAATATTAGTGCTCTAAAAGGCTTATCTCGAAATACATTAGGTGATGGAATTCTTTCAACTATAGCATCTAAAACTTTATCAATTCCAATACCTAATTTAGCAGATATTTTGATAACATCAATATCTTCTATATCAAATAACATCTGCAATTGATCTTTTACTTTTTCAGGATTAGCATTTTTCAGATCCACTTTATTAATCACTGGTATTATTACAAGATCTTTTTCTCGTGCCAAGTAATAATTAGCTACGGTTTGTGCTTGGACACCATCATTTGCATCGACCAATAGTATGACTCCTTGACAAGGCGTCAATGAACGATGGACCTCTGCTGAAAAATCCACATGTCCTGGTGTATCAATAAGATTTAAAAGATAATTCTTCCCTCGGTGTGAATAAAATAGTGAAGCTGTCTGTGCTTTCACAGTAATTCCACGTTCTTTCTCCACTTGTAAATTATCCAAAACTTGCTTTCCTGAATTTGTCTTTATAGCCCCAGTTAATTCTAGTAGTCTATCCGCAAGCGTACTTTTACCATGATCAACATGTGCAACAATACTGAAGTTCCGAATAGTTTCAATTGGTACGTTATATTCTACATCAGTTGTCTGTTGTGCAAAGAAATACTTGTTTGATAAAGATATCCACCTAAAAAACGAAATACAAGATTAATATAGCACACATAACATCTTTGTTTTACAAATTGTCTTTTTTCTATTAAATTGAGAAAAAGGCATTTATATAAAATAAAAATAACCTTTGTTGCTTGAAAATTCTTGTATTGCGAATAGTACGAATAATCTCGATAAAAAATAAATTTGATATAATGTTATGCATTTTTATACGTATTATATAAAGCAATGAAATAAACGTACTATACGCAATAATTTTTATCAGACAATATTTTGAATAATCTGCTACATTTTCTTCTTCTTCTTCTTTGGATTTTAATGACCACCTCTGATCTGGGAGCAATCAGTATATTCAGGCCAACAACTGGTTTGAGCGAGAGAATAATGTAGTGAGTTAAAAGGTGATGTATCAGGAGGATGCTCCGTTCAGAGCTTACAGGATTTTAGGAAGGAGAATAGTACGTGAATAACCCCGGAGAAAGGCTTAGAATATTTTGGATCTTGTAGGATCGTGTTATCCCCTTAAATCTTGATAGCTGTTTTAAGAGAGTTATCCTCTGTGTATCGTATAAAGGGCAGTTCCAGAAAATGTGATCCGCGTCTTGACTGGAGAAGCCACATTAACAGGAGGGAACTGCATTTTTTGAATTGATAGACATTTTTCCACGTCTTTAAGGCCAGTATTCATAGGCCGGTATTCACCGGCCTAAAGGCGTCTTTAAAGGTGCGGCCTCATTGACGCTAAAAAGTAGCGTCAACCATTGGTTGAACAAGGAGGTAAGTATAGTTGCTTCATTGTTCAACCAATGGTTGACGCTACTTTTTAGCGTCAATGAGGCCGCATCTTAAGGTGCAATTTCATTGACGCTAAAAAGTAGCGTCAACAATTGGTTGAACAAAGAAGCAACTACTTACTTCTTTGTTCAACCAATGGTTGACGCTACTTTTTAGCGTCAATGAAATTGCACCTTTAGATGGAAGCGTTTAGCGTCAAGCGTCGAGCGTCAAAAACACGTGCGCAGCACCCTTGCGCATAATTCTGAACAGGCAGATTCCAGCATCTTGACGCTAAAACCGCTAAAACAATGTCTAGTAACAAAATTTTAATAAATACGGTAGAGGTAAGTAGATTGTATATTCTTAATAGAAAATGTATTAATATATATAATATATAATAAATATAATAGATATAATAGATATAATAGATATCATTATACAATATATATTATAGAATTGCGCGATTAGTAGCGTATTACAACATAACCAAACAGAAGGAATAATTGGCATAAATATATGTTTTCTAAATACAACATGAATATTATTTATTACAATGTATTCTTTGTATAGGATATAACGTGTGGAGTGTGCACGTAACTTTTTTTTGTTTCTTATATTCATGATTAATAATGCTGCTGCATTCTAATAACCATTGATGATAACGATAATTAACTGACATTTTATTGATAATATTTGATAATAATGATAATATTGATAATATTGATAATAATGATAATATTTGATAATATTCCGCAATTTAGATGATTTACTGACTGCTCCAGCGTTTCAACAAATCACTAGGCACACTGCGCATGTCACACTTTTTGACGCTTTAACGCTCGACGCTAAAACGCTCCCATGTAAAGGCACCTTAAGGCCTACTGTACACAGGACGCGACAATGCGTTCAGCGGAGAGCACCATAGACATAGGCTGATGGCAGAGAACTAGACGTGCGGCTTAAGGCCGCAGCACACACATTTTGCATAAGCGCATAACCATAAGCATAAGGAAATTGATTGGTCCTCAAGTATATGCATAAGAAAATGAACCAATCAATTTTCTTATGCTTTTCTTATGCGCTTATGCAAAAGTGTGTGCTGCGACCTTAAGGGCCTATCCAGACAAACTTACATAGGTGCATATGCATAACATAAGATCATATGGACCAATGAGCATCGAGTATTATGTTATGTAAGTCAATATAGCGATTTAATACTCGATACTCATTGGTCCATATGGTCTTATGTTATGCACCTATGCAAGTTTGTCTGGATGGGCCCTTAGACTCAAGAAATTAACCAATCACAGTCGAGTATTCTCTTAATACTTAATTGTGATTGGTCAATTTCTTGAATCTTAAGCCTCCGCAAGGTGTTCCGTATCGCATTACGTTACGTTAAGTATCAATGGTAAATTTAATTCCGTACGTAAAGACATGTCTTAAGGCTATAGGCCGCAGCACACACTTTTGCATAAACGCATAACCAGAAGCATAAGGAAATTGATTGGTCCCCAAGTATATGCATAAGAAAATGAACCAATCAATTTTCTTATGTTTATGGTTATGCGCTTATGCAAAAGTGTGTGCTGCGGCCTTATAGCACACACTTTCCATAAGACATAACAATAAGGTTTCGACCAATCACGTTGCTCAATTTGGTTACGGACGGCCAAATTGAGCAACGCGATTGGTCGAAACCTTACTGTCATATCTTATGGAAAGTGTGTGCTATAGCCTTTACGTTATGATTTTTTCTGTGCGTTGACCATAAACGTAAAACGTAAACGTAAGCTGAAGAACCGATCAGAATATTGCTTTAGCCATTGAAATATATACCATACTGGAAGGCGCACAGGCTACCCCCTCCAAAACGGTCAGACAAGGCAGTGACTCGGTACCGGATTTCTCTTTCTATCTCGTCTACTCTCTTAGCTGAAAACATTCGCCTTGCGCACACATATATACATAGGACAATTTATACATACATGTTATATATTAACAATTTTTATTAAACAATATACATTGTTTTTATTAAATAATTTTATAATGTAAAAATAAATTTTAACATATAAATTTTATAATTATCCAACAATTTCATTTTAAAGCATAAAATTTTCTTTTTATGAAGGCGAATGTTTGTAGAACTAATAGTAGCTGTGAACACGTGACCGAGACTGTTGGTTAGATAGAGAGATCCGGGTCCGAACAACTATCTCCATCTGACCGGTCGAGAACAAAGGCGTGCTTATTCCAGTATGGTATATATTTCAATGGCTTTAGCTTTATGTATCCTAGAAGACGATAGAAATCATGGATGTAAGAAATACTGGATAGAGTGTATTGCTGCGGGGGTGAAGCTCAAAGGGTGAGTGGAAAGAAATGTCTACTGCAACGGAATATGAGGCATGTAAGATGGCGACGGATATTAATATCACGGAGTGTGATATTTTTGAATTTCTTAATATTCAGAAATGATTCGGAATAACACAGCGATTTCAGATGATAGATAATTTCACGGAATCTCTAATATTTTATTCGATTTACGTCCGTGCGACGTGAAAATATACGCTAAATCTGAGGCATCTAAGATGGCCGCGACAATAAATCCCTTATCCCTCAGGCTTTACACCCCTCGTCTAAAAGAGTACTTTATGCTCTGTCCTGTATTTTTTACGTCCATGATAGAAATGATGATAAAGTTGACCGTAAGCAGAAGTAACTAGGATTTCAACTAGTTAAATCCTAGTACTTCTGCTTACGGTCAACTTTATCATCATTTCTATCGTCTTCTAGAGGTTTGTTCGCGTCACATGCCACAACATATTCCTACTCACTCCAATACGCTCCAATACGTTCGCGTCACCGGAACTAATATGGCGACTAGGTGTTCGCGTCACGATAGAACATACATTAAGGTGCAATTTCATTGACGCTAAAAAGTAGCGTCAGCCATTGGTTGAACAAAGAAGTAAGTATACTTACCTCTTTGTTCAACCAATGGTTGACGCTACTTTTTAGCGTCAATGAGGCCGCACCTTAAGGAGCAATTAGGAGCATGCTCCATGTGCCTCACCTTTGAAGGTGGTGCAGTTGGGGCAAATGTGCGCGCATGCGTAATATATAGAATATGAGTTGAATGGCTGCAAAAGCATCAAGATTCATGTTGTCATAATACTGTAATGCGCGATTGGTTGAAAGCAAAAAAAGAAAGGGAACTGCCTCAAGTCCGTTCGTGTCACCAAATGTTGGTGTATATGAATTCATCTGCTCTAACCGCCATCTTATCTGTGATCCAAGTGCTCTCTGGAATACATTGGAAATGTGACGCGAACAAACCTTTTGATACATAAAGCTAAAGCAATATTCTGATTGGTTCTTCAGCTTACGTTTACGTTTTACGTTTATGGTTATGGCAATTCATATGCGAAAGCCTTAATGGCAGCTTCCAAAAGAAGAAAATATATTATAATTGGATATCAAATTGTAATAAAATAATTCGACGAAAACGTTAAATATAATTTGAAAATGATATCGTTTTTATTATATTATTATCGACATATTAAAAACAAAAAAGACATTATTAAAAAAAAAAATTTTGGGTTGCACCACTTTTTCAAAATCATGATCAATATGGATTTTACAAAGCTATTTTACCGAATGTGAGATTAGAAAGTGCAAGATTTCTGAATTATTTTCGTATGTCATCAACGCAACTGGAAAATTTATTACATTTTTATTTTAGTATAATTAATACAGCACGATATAGCATTGTCAGCAATGTCTCAGCGTTTGACATCGTTTAAGCGATAATGCTTTGTAATTGAACCGATTTAAACTACAAAATTGTAGCTGCTGGATTACGAGCAACAAATCGCTTTAACTATTTGTTCCAGCGGTATGTGAAAATGCATCTTTATACTGGAATGAGCACACCCATTGTTAACACTGGTTTGGAAGAGAACCGAGAGAGAGGATATGAAACCTATTGCTCTCTCTTTCTAATGTACTTTCTGCGCATGTTTAGTTCCTCTTGATTCCTCTTGATATAGTCTAGTTAAGAAATTAATAAATCAGTTAGTTTTCTGACTATTTTTATATTTATACATATAGTTGATTTTAAAAAATTGTAACTGTGTGTGTGTGTATAAATACTTGTATAAAAATTTGTAACAAAAAACTTAGAAATCTTTTAAGGAGCATCAGAGTTAAATTATTAATCAATTTTTTGATGGGACTGTACAGCAGCTATCTTTCTCAACGACGCGACAGTGCTGCTTGCGCATATTCCAACTATAGTTCAGTGTAAAGCCCTTGCACAATGCTAGAAAACAAGCAATAAGAATAGAAATAGTATCTATTCTCTTCTCCTATTGGCGAATATTTTCTGTTCCGCGTATTTATTGGTGAATAGTTTCTATTCCTTATTTCTATTGCCTGTTGCCTAGCATTGTGTAAAGGGCTTTACTGACTACGTTTCAATGCTTACGTTTTTTTGTGTGCCATGGCCTTAAAAAGAAGGCCTAATATGGCGTAATATTTTTTTTTACATTTTTCAAAAGTTCTGAGAGTTTGCGCGTTTTCTTCGTAAAGAGTAATCGCTTTCCATTTACATCAAAACTCAAATAAATCTCATTTGTGACATCATAACTTAGTTGAATGTATGTTCCTTTTGATATTGGCAAGTGAGATTCAACTGAATTTTTATCATTAATCTGAACATGCTAGAGACCGTGTGCTTTAGTGAGTCTGATAGGCTAACATTAAAAGTGAAGAATCTTATGAATCTTACTTGCCTGTATTTGTTTATTTCCTTTCATTGAATAATGATATCACTAATCTGAGTATAAAATACTCACATAACTGAGTGACTCAGTATCAATTGAGTGTAAATGGAAAGCTTCTTGTTCTTTGATATCTTTGCAGAAAATGGATACAATCGACACAGAAATTTGCGGTTTTCTGTATATGAAATCAATAGGAAATAGATTTATCGCGCAGAAAGTAAGGAAGAGGACTTTGGTATTGCCAAAGGTCTGGAAACGATTATGGTGTTCCGTTGAAAAATTAGGATCTGATCTTGGCTTACGAGTACAGTTTGACACCAGGCTCAGCTACAGTGGCAGTGCTTCTGCAAAACAAAGCGAAAAGAGCAACTGTGTCGTAATACCGTCAAATGCGATTCTATATCGCATTCGTTCTAAAACAAAGCAATATGCATTCGCTATATCATCAGCGAAAGACAGAAAGCCCTTATTGTCGTTGTCCGCTAATTCAGAAACTGAGACGCAGCATTGGATGGCAAATATTAGACAACTGTTGAAACCTAGAAGATATTGTCGCATGGAGAAATCATACAGCATGTCCATGGTTGACAATGCACATTCTAAAGCATCAGGTTTAACTGGTTAGTACAATTTTTATATATTTAGAATATTTTGTCAATTAGAAAAAGTTTATATTGAATTAATTTTTTATTTAATTTATAAGGTTTATATGGAGATTTGATTGCCAACAACACAGGGATTCTTATTAAAGATGTTTATAGTGGTGATATGATTGAATCTTTCGAATGGAAAGAATTTAGTCAATTTCATTTAATGACAATAGGCCGTCCAGAAGATGTGAAACGTATTTGTGTAATACATACCACTAAAGAGTTTCGTTGTGGTGCTGGAGAACTCAATATATTTTGTCTTGATGCTAATAAATTATTACAAGATTTAGTGACACAGGGTCGTGGTCCAAAACAAAAATCTTTGCATTTTGACAAAGAAAACTTTGAAACAGTAATGCAACATTATAAAGTTAATAATCCTCTTTCACAGTTACAAAATACTATCTCACTTCATCTTAATACAGCTAATTGGTATGTACTAACATGTATATACAAAATGAAAGTATTATTTTTAATAATAAATAATTATTTCTGAAATAATATATGAAAAGTACAGTTCAAGGGTATCAAACTGCACAAAAATCATAGAGAATATATATGAATTGGAACCTGATCTAATGTACAGCAAAGAAATTGATTCCTATAATCTTAGAATGTCAAATGCTTCTGAAATTTATGAAGAAATAGACAATATATGCTTTTCTAAGCAAATAACATCCATTTTTAATGAGAATGAAGAAGCAGATAAAATTCCAATCTGCAATTTTCAAATTAAACCTCCAGCATTACCACCACGGCAGGGTCAAAAATCATATGTAGAGGAAGATAGGTATGATCGTAAATTTTAGTTTTATTTCAAATTTTTATGGATACTTAAGAGGAAATAAAAAACATAAAATAAGATTAATTTTCAAGAACAATTCAAGAACAGAATGTTTTTTTATATAAAACAGGATTAATGTGGGGCAATATTCTCATGTAAAAATGTCTAATCTTGAAGCAAAGTTACAAAATGCTGAAGAATGCATGCAGAAAATTATTTTTATGGATAATAATTATGTACCGATGTCATCTCAAATAAAAGACATTAATATATCCGAATCCGATGACACAGAATATTTAAAAGAAAATGACTATGTAATTATGCGATAATATTGTAATATAAGTAATATAAGTAATCCCACACAATACAACAAGATTGCAAAAACATTGTGGCATCGTTTTATCGCAATATTGTAACGTTGCATAAACGTTATAAAACGTTGCTGCAAGATTACAGCAAGGTTGCAGCAACTGTAAAATGTCCGCTTTTAGAAATATTACTAACGTAGCAATATTGCAGTAAAATATATATGTAATATTACTTTAGAAATGTGCCAGTATCCAATCGGCTTGAATTTTTTATGTCTAATATTTTTCGCGTGAATTTATGTACATTTTTCCTTTAGCAAACTATCCGGTATTACTACCGATCTTAAAACGCATCTCAAGCTGAAGCGAGAATAGCAATCACATAAAATTTAATTATATAATTGTATCATTTTAGCTTTAGCTTGAGATTTCATTTTAAAATCGACAGTAACGGCGAGTTTGCTAAGGGAAAAATAATATATATAAATTCACGTGAAAAATATTAGGCACAAAAAATTCAGTCTAATTATATTATTGCCCGGTAAAAAATTTTTCATATATAATTAGACAAAACTGATTATATCTAGTTATACAAACTTATATATCAATTTTGTCCATATAAAAACAGATATGCTTATGTATAAATGGATATAAATATATATATATTTGTATATTATTATAGGTGTGTTTTCGTTGTTGCTACCTCGCTACAAGCGGTTGGTTCGTGTTTGAAGACATGACGTCACAAATAGTAACCGAGAATAAAAACGTTTCGAGCAGGCAATGCGCAAACGCGCTAGCGGTTTGTTGCTTCATGTGTCATGATCATGATGGATCCAAATGTGAGGTTATCTGTGTTATTTTGTATAATGGAAGTGATTGATGACGATTTATCACATATTGTGAATATTTGTCAATTACAACTCACAAGCAGGTTGTCCTTTCCTTTTTGAAGGATAGAATAACTTATTTCAAAATAGGAATAATTGCTACGTTATTCATTTTTGCTTTTTGACAACTTGTTTACAAGCATTCTCTTTTCGCACTTCGCGCCAAACAACCTACCATAACCGCACTATCATCGTCGAGACCATGGCAACGCGATAGCAGCTATTACGGCTAACGTGATTGCTTCGATAACGTCACAACTAGAAACGAAAACGGTCTTGTTTGCCTCTGGTCGTTCGTGGTAGCGAAACAAAAACGCACCTTATATAAAGATATATTTTTATAATCCCGGGAAAAAAAGTCCATATAAAATTGGCCATACATGGATTTTGTCATTAGCTAATTATGTTTTGCCAAATATAGTCATATATGATATTATATATGAATAAATATTATCAGATCTGAAAATTACAGCACTTTTCTTACTTTTCAATATAATTTTTAGGAAAAATTATATTTGTTTATATAAAAAAACACCGAAAAATTGTATTCTTAACTTAAGAATATGCCACTTATCTTTAGAATATATATCACTAAAATAGGCGCCAAGAAAATCCTCTTAAGTTATGAGGAAAATCTTCTGAAGACATTCTTAATACACAGAGAAAAATATTTCTTTGGATTTAATAAATTTGGTTGAAGTCAAATAAATTTAATTATTGATGTATAAAAGTTTTTTTCCGCCTAATTTCAAATAACCTGTTTCTTATTCTGAATCCCAAAGGAATCCAGCTTGAAATTAAACTGATAAACATTGATGTCAAAGAGGACACATGCACATAGAGAACCTATGTGTCAGCAGCGTCCTCTCTTTCGCACCACTGCTAAGGCAAAAAAATATACTTTAAATCTTACGTTAATACAAGTCCTTTATATACATTTCATGATAAATATTGAATACGAGAAAAATTAAGAGTGGTGTCGCCGCGTAGCGGTAAATGAAGAAACATGTCGCGCACACGAAAATCGAGTTGCGGCGTAGAAGTCGCCAATTAAGAATATATTCTTATTCATTAAGAATTTACAATTTTTTCGGTGTACCACTTAGCTGCTTCTATAATAATATACATTTAATTGTTGTTTTTAAATGCTGCATAATAATTAATTAAATATATAATGCAAGATATAATTTTTAGGAAAAATTATATTGGTCTATATAAAAAAAGGTAAAATCATATATAATCTTAAATGATTATATATAATAACATATATGATTTATATCAAAGCGTACATGAAATCACTAACCTTTGCTTTGGTTTTATACATGCTTAGATATATCAGTATCTGACTATGTCTGATTGTACAAAATGACGTGAGGTATCTAATAACATTTTTTATGATCAGAAATGGTCAGAGATGGACATCATATCTAAGCATATACAAAAATGTATGCTCTGATAAAATCATATGTGATATATAATCATATAAGTCTGTATATAATTTTACTTTTTTTATATAAATAGACATGGACTTTTTTTTCCCGGGTCATTAAGCAAAATGTTTCACCTATCCGTTGTTCATGAGTGCATTGAGGGAAAGATGCATATACATTTTGATCAAAATTTCTCGTTTATATAGAATCATATATAATTATGTATGATTGTATCTGAACTATATTTGTTACTTATATATATTTATATATGACGCAAGACTTACATACAATTATATATTAAACTAACAGAAATCCATGTATAATTATACATAACATACAAAACATTGTGAACATTATATATAAGTATGCAAAATGCGCACTTATATATATTTATATGTAAGAGTTATTATACTTATATATAAATATATATAATGTCCTGTACTCTATTATTTATAATTATACATATTTTTGCACAATGATATATATAGTTTTGTACAATTATATTCAATTCTGAATGAATATACATGAAAAATTTTTTACTGAGTGGTTTCAACCTAGTTAACAATTTGAAATACCTCCGATTAGACAGTACAATTGGACACTACTGACTTTGATTGGCTAATCGTGCTTGATCGTATTGGTTACCCTAGACATCGGTCGATATAATTGGCTGTGTCTAATCGTACTGTCTAATCAGGCAATCCCCAACAGTTTATGGCGTTCATAAACCAACTTTTAAATTAGGTATAAATATACTCTACAATGATACGTTATTCTAGTAAGTCTTTATTATTGTAATAATGTTATCTATCAATATAATCATTACTCCAATTATATTTGCAATATTATGTAGATCATTGATAAGTATTTGTAGATCATTTATGATGATGTTAGAGTAGCGAGGATAAGGAGTGAACGAAATAAGTTTTATCAGATTCATTGAACTGTAATTTTAATATCCAGTAACTGTACGAGTAGAGTCATGAAGCAAAAAAAAAATATATAAGAAACGAAACTAGAATTTAGAACATAAAATACATAGTGTAGAGAGAGAGAGAGAGGTTATACATTGCTCAATCTAACACTCTGCCTCAATGTGTTACGGGTGATTTCCGCGAGATTCGGATAGCGGGAATCGGAAATCCGGGTTCGGTAGGTTTTGAAATGAGCGAGAGCGTGTGTAAGATAAAAAAAAAGTATTTATTGGATGTATGTAATACAGTGTATGTGTGTGTGTGTGTGCGCGCGTGTTATGAATGTGATTCTTTTCGAGCGCGATATTCGGCACAAGACGCGAATTAAATGTTCGGCGCGTTATGCAGATATTGAGTCGTGAATGCACGACGTAAGCGTGCCATATAACGATATTGAAATTATTACGGAGTGTACAACATTTTATAATCGTGCGTATTTTGGATGTAATGCGGTTTCGGATCGTATTGATATCTTTAAACAATATTTACGGCGCGTGTTATGATTCCGGCGCGATCAATGCCGGACCGTTTGACGTCGCGCGTATAGTTTTTATGTATGCGCGTCTGAAAGATCGATTTAGTCGGCTTTTTGTGCTGTTTACAAGAAACGCGCGCTATATTTCCGGGAAAACGCTGAATGCGTTTACGCAGAATTGTATCGGTAATTTTCAGTATATACGGAGAGTTTTCAAGAACGCTGGGCCGACGAGAATAACTCGTCCGAGGTAGCTCTCCTCTCTGCCTCGTAAGAAAATGCACTAGCGTCTGGCGGTCGGATTGTAGACCGGTGGTCGAGAACTCTCGACGGAATCAGAGTGCACTCTGATTCCTTTTCCTGGTCGGATTATTGATCGGATGGAATGATCTTGATCGAGAATCGAGAGTGCTCGATGGAGGAAGAGTTCGCTCTACCTCCTTTCCTAGAAGCTAGATTTCGGTTCGTATAGGAGCGGTCTAGGTTTCGGAGCTGCTTCACTGTCGTGAGCGGATCGGAAAAAGGTAATTAGATTGCCGAACGTGCCCGTTTTATATCGGCTAATTGCCCGAGTCGGCGCGCGGCGGTATTACCCCTTCCGAACGGGTTACGGAAAGCGGTACGGTCGGGGGACCCGTTTAGAGGGGTTCGGAGTGCGCGCCGAGCGATGTGTGTGAAGTTAGCCCCGCACTTTTCGAATTTTGAATTTTTGTTGATTGTGCTGCATTGTGCTCCGTTTGTGCTGTATTGTGCCGCAAACGGCAACTCTCTAACTCAAAGCATATTCAAGAAAAAAGAAAAAGAAATTTTTTTTGCTAGCCCCGCACTTTTCGAATTTTGAATTTTTCTTGATTGTGCTGCATTGTGCTCCGTTTGTGCTGTATTGTGCCGCAAACGGCAACTCTCTAACTCAAAGCATATTCAAGAAAAAAGAAAAAGAAATTTTTTTTGCTAGCCCCGCACTTTTCGAATTTTGAATTTTTCTTGATTGTGTTGCATTGTGCTACGTTTGTGCTGTATTGTGCCGCAAACGCAAGATCGATAACACCAAGAATAAAAAAATATAAAACTAAATTATGGTAGCCCCGCACTTTTTTACGATTAAGCTCACGATTTTTTCCTAAATTGGCCCTAACTTGTGCCATATTGTGTCGTTGGAAAAATTTCAATATCTCATTTTATTTCGATAAAGAAAATTCACAAAGATAGATTAAAAAAATATTAAAAGAACGATTAAAAGAACATAAATCACACTGCAATGCAAATATAAAATTTCTGCAAGTTGTGTTGAGTTGTGCTACTCAAAATCTACAAAACACATGCATAAAAAGCAGGGATTATCTTGAAGGGATGAAAAAATTAATAAAAAAGGAATGAGAATGAATTAAAAGACATTTTATACATCTAATTTTAATATGTAATAAATATATGTGATAAATATATTTAATATGGAATACTCACATACAAACACACACACACACACACCGCTTTTTGCGTTACCCGGAACCAACGACGTGGACGTAGCGGTATTCTGGTTCCATTTTGTTTTTTTTTATTTTTGTTTTTAATTTTTTTTGTATTTTTAATTTTATTAATTTTTTATATATTTTTTTGTGTTTTATATTTTTAATGTTATAGATGTACATATATATTATATTTGAAAATAAAACTAAATAAAATTGTGAATATTGTGAAAATTTTTGTTGTAAATAACGATAACATAAAATTTTTACCATCTTTTTTTAGAAAAGCATATAAGATAAAAAAAAATGCACGAAATCTATTTTATCTTTTCAATGTGTAACATAATTAAAAAGAATTTGCTTCGCATGCAATATAGATTATTAAATGCGGTTTTATTTTATATTCTTTAGTTTTGGTTCTTGTACGTCGCACTAAATTATTGAACTCTACCCCAATAGCCAAGTCTGTTAAAGCAGATCTTGTCAGGGAATCTGTTACAAATTGTTGTCGACAGAAAGATTACAGAATCGATGCAGGTTCTGATATATTATGTGATGTCAGCAGAATGTCAACAGAAATATAACAAAGCTTGTTAACATAATCAGTTACCAGATTGGCAGCAAAAATCGAACAGATTCTGTCGGCATAACTTAGTGGCAGATTGGTGGCAGAAATTGAACAGGATCTGTGCGATGCAATTTGACAACAGATTGTCGGCAAAAATCGAACAGGATCTGCGCATACAATCTCTGATAGCAGATTGATGGCAGAAACGGAACAGGGTTTGCATGATTCGATAATTCCTTCACTTACCGCTACGCGAGCTGTACTTTCTCGTAATTGAATTTCTGTCAGAAATATATATAAAGTCGCGAATACGAATAAAAGACTAAAAATGTAGTAATTATTTTAATTTCTATCACTTTAATTTCTGATATCTGATACAAGCAAATGAGAGTCAGAATATTAAACTGATTGAAATCAATATGATAAATGAAAAATTATTCATGTACTGCCTATTTGAGGCATGAAGCAAGAATTTAATTATAAATATAATAAATTAGTCTCAAGTCAATTCATCTCAAGTTTTACAAGTTACATTTACTTTTATCATTTACTTTATTATTAATTTAATTAAATTGAATTAGT